ACCAACCATGGCTTACGGCCGCAGTCGAGATGACCGCCAGCCGGAGCCACCACATGTGGCCGTGCCGACCCAAAAAAGGCTCAGAAACCTTCGGGCCAAAAGGACTTGGTCGTGCAAGACCTTCACAAAAGTAACGGTTATTTCTAACCTCCAATATACACAAAAAAAATTGACGCGATCCAGACCTTGAGCAAGTTCACGCCACTGGTTGCTGGTTGGTTTTAACGATGTGGTGGAACATTTTTCGGCCTCGTCGGCCAACCCGAAACCCTCCAGGGCGCACCATGATCGAGCGGAACTGTGTGGAGAGGGCGGTGAGCTCGCTGATCCGGGACCTCGTCCGACGCTTCGCCTGAGACCGGCGGGGAGAACAGGGCGGCGTCGTCGAAGGTCCGGACCGAGCTCGACCCGTGCTGAACCGTGCCAACCCCGACCGTGCTGGAAGACCGGAAGAGCAGATCTGGGTGGCGGGTGTTAAATCCATCAATGAACCAACTGCTTCCTTGAGGGCCCTGTTTGCTGATGTTTGCTGTGGGTGATGGCTGTTTGCATGTCGGCAGCTGGGAGGAAGGGATTGGTGCTTGAACATGCTTGAACCGTCTTAAACCACCTGTGACCAACAAACTATTTTCTTCATGGCCACTGTCCAGACACGCCATGTGATGCTGTCCTGGTTGTCTTCCCACAAGTCGAAGCGTGCATACAGTGATGCAGGATGGATGACCTTCTTCAAACAAATGCTGCAAACAACAATCCAGGCCCTTTGAAGAATATGTTTTTTGTTCGCAGGTGGTCTACTATACCATGTCAGCTTGCGGGAGGATATGGCTGCGGGATTGCATGTTGCTTCCCGCACTTCTTGCGTGCGCTTTCTTGGAGTGTCAAGATTACGGAATTATACGGAATTCACATCTCAAGTGTTGCACTTCTAGCTTTACTTCTTGTTTACCTCGCGCTTTGTGAGTTCCACCGATCGACGTTCTCGGCCGGTTGCGCTCCCGCCGCTCCGGCTCAGGCGTGGAAGAGGAGGGCGTCAGCGGTGCGCCCTGCGCCGCGCCCGAGGGGTCGCCGCAAATTTGGTGGAGAAGCCCAGTGCGAGAGAGCCTTGGAGCATAGAGCATAGCCTGGGCCTGGCTGGAAGGGGAGATGGGACAAGACCGGCGAGATGGAAGATCCGTGGGTTTGGGAAGAGATGGTGTTTGAGGTCAAAGTAGTTGAATGCTGTATGCTTGTAGAGGGGGCAATCCACGGCAGATGCAGGTTGGACCTGTTGGCTTTTGAGCAGGTATGTGAAGGCTGGGTGTTCGTTAAAGTGGGACAGTGTTTAAGAATGCTTGAGCCCCTCTCACAGGCAACAAAGGCAACAAGGCCGACCTCGCCCAATCCACAGACATAAATTTGACACTTCCAATTTTGAGCCAAGAATCCAAGAACGGGGTGTTGTATTTGATGTTTTAATTATGTTGCCCTCGCTTCATTACTTCCAGCACATTCTCGGCATGTTCGAGAATGATGGAGCTCCCCCTTTGGCCGCAGAGTGAAGATCTAGAATCTAGACTCACTGGAAGCAGTCACCATCCCTCACGAGCCATTTCCTACATTTTAATATGCAGCATCCATGCAATGGGACGCGAGTTCGTGTGACGTTCGTGCTGAACGAACTTTGAACACACCGGTTTAACATGGTTTAGCCTTAATTTTTCTTAGCTTGTGGCATTTGGTGGCTAATGTGAACTGAGAGTAGTTGAGTCATGGCAAGCAACATTATTTACATATTGGTTTAATGTACAACTGTGAATCGCCCAATTCTCGAGTCAGAGAAAATGGCACACCCAGGTCTCACCCACTGCCGACCTTACCCACGAGCGCACGAACACGCACTGAGAGCCAGCTAAAGCTACCAGCCACTGGGTCGAAAACGAAGACAGGGACTGAGAGAGGTCATCGCAGGGTGTGTCTTGCCGAGACCCCTTCAAGACCCTCCCAATCACCTTGAAACTCCTGGAGTTTCGCCTTCTGCTGTGGAATATTATAGTTCAGCTGTGGAAACAGGTCGACTCCTTTCAACTCCGAGAAGCGCAACGCCACGCCCCAGGTGCGCAGTTCGGGCTCCGCGACGCGGGGCAGCTTGACGGGGCGGACCTCGGTGAGCTCCCACAGGAGCGGACCACCGGGGCCTTGTTTCAAGCCCCACGTTCGGACGCGGAGACCGCGGGGGGGGGACCAAACCCCCCCACGGGGTGTGAGACGTGTTTTTTTGTTTACAGTGTTTTTTGGATTTCAATTAAGTGGCGGAACACTTCTTTTTTTTGGGGGGGGGCACCGTTTTTTTGGGGCTGTGAATGCGAAGATGGGCGGTTGGACATCCGGTAATTAACTTTAGTGAAAGTTCTGGATTTGGCGAAATGAGCCCTTCACACATGCGAGAATGAAATAGGATGGGCGTACGCGGCGTACTAGAGGGCTGAGTTTGCGCCTGGATGGGGAGTCAGATGGAATTGGAACCTGTTGGAGGTGGTGGATAGTTTGTTTTTGCAGCCGTGTCATTTGCCTTGACCAGAGCTTTTGGATTGTTCCATATACCATGGCACCAGGCGGCACCTGGCCCAGTGGCACCGAGTGAGATCCCAAGCATTCGAGTGAGGTTTTCCCCAACATTTCGTTGGTCCTTGGCAGACCGGTGGTTGCGGGTGCGTTTTTTGTGCAATTTCCCCGTGCAAGTTTTGTTGAACATGACTTAAAGGAGGCAGAAAAGCCGTTACAACATGACAGCAACATAAGGGACCTCATCGCAAGTGGTCCTAGTAAATAAAGTGGCGCATTCAAGAAATCCAAACTGAGTGCCTGGTGGCCTGGAGTTTATAATGTCAGATAATTCACTTGATTATGTCGATTATATACATGTCACATGTTTTTATACTTTTCTTCCTTGCCCTGACACGAAATCTTAGACCTCAGCTTCGGAATTCAGCAGTCCAGATTGAGAAAGCAGGATTGGAATACCCCAACACATGTGCTTTATGCATTTTGCTGCTTGTGCTGCTTCACCATCAACTCCTGAACATCTTGGCAGGTCATCCAAGTCCAATGAGGGATCTGCAGCGGTCAAGGAGAGAAGCATTTGGTGGCAAGATGTCGGGTTCAATCCATCCGACCTGCAAGATGTCGGTGCACCAGGTGGTGGTTGATTGGTCGAAGGTCGTCCAAAGGGGGTGCTAGCTTTGGCCACTTGTATTACAGGTATGTGGAATCTGTTAAGGAAACCTTGCACCCCGGAGGCCAATGAAATCCACCCAAGACGCTGTTGGTAAACAGGATCAGTGAACAAACAAAAACGCAATGACGGCACGGCATTGAATTAGACGAGGTGTTGTTCGCTGGACTCTTTCTCACGGTGCCACCCACTCAACAAACACTCTCCAACCTGGGTTGTTTGAGCCCCTCAGATTCCTCCTTGGATCAAAGCCAACAGAACAGAACGCATTAGAGACATTGTTCTATTGTTTGGCTTGCATGCACCAAATGTAGAACACAGACAACCCACCAACAAGTCATCAAAAAAACTCCCTGGAGCGGGGGGGGGGGTGCAGGTTCTATGATGGTGGGTAAAGCATGGGTTTGGTGGGGATTTGGCACGGGTGTGGTAAACAGGTGTTTGACCGCTAAAATGCATTTGTTTTGTCAAAAAGTCTGGGTTGGTGCGGGTATGCTACAGCATCGGCCTTTGTCCGCCTAGCTTCTCAAAGTGTCAAGTATTTACTTCCAAACAACTTCTGACCAAAGCTGCTGCACCAAAACACATCCAAAAACTAGCAGCATCCTTCGAATTCGCACTTAATTAGCCTGGGTAAAGGGGAAATAGACCGAAAGAACTGGCCTCTTCGGAGCCTTTTACGACACATTTCTCATTGAATACTGGCCCCCCCCCCCAAAAAAAAAACAAGATTTGGGGCTCAACCCGATTTGTTTTTCAGGCACTTTTTGAATGCCGATATTTCTGGTTGCCTGAAACGTCTCCAGGGCCGTGTCAGCATGCCTTTCTTGTTCTTTTGACCATTGCTTTTGGGTGTTTGTGTGAAAGACCCCGCAGGGCCGCTGCCACACGGGGGAAAACTCGTCATGCACCGTCTCCCGCTTTGGTCGTTTCCGAGCACTTCTTGACCATTTCGTGAGAGATGTGCGGTGGTTGACCAGATACCTGCAGGGCCACTGGGGAGATCCGATGCGTTGAAATTCGGGCTGGTGGTTGTTAGCGTGCCTCGTTGATGCTTCCACGTACATGATGCCTCGGTTCCACATTGGGTGGGGTGGGGTTTGGGACCACAGTGTCAGTGTGTGTCATTGATGCCAAGATGTGAGTGGAACAAACCAGTTCTGTGATTTTTTGCGTAGCCGGGGAGGAAATACGAAGCGTTTCAATGGCAGCGGCGCCACAACTTGAAAAGTAAGAAAGACATAATTCATCACAATTCCCTGAAGTCTTGGTCCAAGAGCCGGCGAAGGCGTGGGCGTTCCAATGAACAAGGCTCGAAACTAAGCAGCTCCTGAATCAGCGATATTGGCGGCAAGCCCTTTGCATGACAAGTTCCATTGTGCTTCACATGTTGATAAGCGCTGATGTCGCTAAGCGCTGTTTTCACGCCTCACATGAGGTGTAATCAGGTGTATTTTTCTTTTCAATTTCATACATCACGTCGAAGTGGTTGAGGAGTTGGTAGGCAGCGGAATGTTGCGGACTTGAAGCGGTCCAACTTAACGGGGCACATTATATAACAAAAATACGCGTTCGAGCTATTAACCTTTGTCCATGTTGGCCCGATCCCAAAGCCAGATCACCGTGATCTTTGTGTTTAACTGTTGAACCACGGAACGGCCTGGGCGTGAAAGCAAGGATTTGAGAGCGCCGCGCGGATAAATTTTGTCAATGCACATCTTCACAGAAATCACTACATGTCTAACATGTTTTTCGGATTGTATTCGCACATCTGTTTTAAGAAGATATGATCTCTCACGCGGTCCCTGCGGCATTTGTGCTTTTGGCGTGCTTCGGCAAAACCTGGAGGGCTCGGAGCGATGCTCGGCATCCCGAGGAGTTGGTCGAGACCTTCGAGGCCACGCAAAATCCCACGGGGATCCCGCTGGAAGCCTTTGGTGCCGAGGCCCTGTCACGGGCAGTGACAAAGTAGGGTCGGAAAGGCGCCGTGGAAATGGGAAGGGAGGACGGGTAGAAACAACGCTGGTTGATCCTGGCTTAGGTTTGTTTGGTGGTTGCTTTGGTTGCTTCCGTGGTGCGAGGGTTTCATATTTTTTGGTGACTCATCATTATCATGCTTCAGGTGATGGCCGGGATGGAAGGAAAGAAGGGTTGGTGACAAGGATAGGAAATTGCAGTGTCCGCTGCGGTTGCGTTTCCTGGGGGCAGCAGGACCTCAAAAGAAGAGTTGTCAAAGAGTTTGTTTGGTCAAACAACGAGGTTATGGACGGATTCATGTTCCAAATCAATTGTTTGAGGTTGAAATCATTGTTCTTCCCAGCACTTGAGCCTGCAGTAGTCGTAGTAGTTCCACATATTGTGGTACCTAGTGCGGTACTTGGTGCAAACTCACAATATGTTTGGCAAATATGTTGCAGGAACTGTGACAATTTGGTGATGAATTACCGGTTGCCTCATTCTTGGGCCCGGGGGCAACCGGCCTCTTGAGGAAACCCTGAGGCGGCGTCGCCTCCTCCCGAACGTGATGCCGTCGTGGTGGCACAGGTGATGCCGTCGGCGCGCTTCGAACTTTTTGAGCAAAGGCCGGCGCTTCTGTCCAGACACTATGTGATTGCTTTCCAGGGCAAAACAGCCCGGCCGAGGGCCCCTGAAGACCAGTTGGACAACATGTTGTAAACATCATGATATTGGAAAAAATCCGTGACAAACCTGGTGCCCTTTAGGGTAAGACCTTCAGAGTTGTACCTGGTTTCTTCAACTGTGTTCTCAAGTGCTGCATGATGTTTGACATGTCTTAGTGATTTAACTGGCGCTCCAGCTTTGGAGTCCTTGTATCCTGACACAATGATCAAATGCTTGTTACGGCTGCATATGGCATATTTGTTTTGTTCGAACACTGTTTTCTTTCCGGAATATGTTTCAGGGATCGTGAGCCCGGTTGAAACTCCATGTGAGGGCAACATATCGTCAGGAACTATACTGCATACAGAGTGGGGAGAGACAGAGAAGGAAAACAACTGGATTGTGCAGTTCCTCAGAATGCATCCTTCCCCATTGAAGTGCAGGCTAATGTCAACGTCCGAAACCAATGATACACCCTGGGACAGACAAGAATCACATTGAACTATGTCCCTTTGAGACCGCTGTCTTGCGCACGTGCACGCGCTGCAGGGCGAGAATATGTTAGGCTCACATGTTCCAGAAAGACCCACGGGATGCTGACAGGAAAAGCGCCTTCCTGGTACTTATTCCAGTGTCCAAAGACTATGGGAGAACCAGGCCTCTCATCTCATCCGATCCGCCTCATGGAGGGCTTGGCTCGTCCAACGCTTTGCCAGGACTGAGCCACACTTCCGGCTCTTCGTCCAGGACGGCCAGCGCGTGGTGACGACCAGGGTGTCCGAATGAACTTCCATCGTGGCGCCCCAAAGCCACCGGCTTTACCGGCGGAAAAGGCCTGCTGCCATCGGCAGGAGATGGAGAAGAGCCGAAACCCCAGTGGCATCAGCTACGAGCAGTTTCAGAAGCTCCTGGCGGAGTTGGGCCTGGACAAAGCGAAAGGCGGGATCATCACATGTGCTGCAGAGCTGGCCTATGAAATTCCATGAAATTCCCAAGGATTTGGGGCGTCCAAATGTTTTGCAGCCAAACTTCTCGGAGAGTACTGTGCGTGAGGAGACTGACCCTCGTTTGCAGCAATGCCTGCATGTTTTTTTGCCTGTTATGCCGGGCAATCAACAAACTCTGGATGGAAGAGGAGGGCAACACTTGAGAACGGCAGTTGTTGTTTTCCCCGATGCGGTAGGCACTTTTTGATGAGTTCGCGCTTGGCAAACCCCCAAGACTCCCAAGACCAGACTTGAAGCGATTGTGGTTGTGGAGCCATAGATGCTAAGCAGTATGCTAAGCAACTTGTCTCATGTTGCAGCCGTGTGCACATATTCCTCAAAGCCCCGATAGATCTAGTGAATCTAGTGCAGCGCCTGTACGTACCACATGCTGCCATGCTACGGGCATTGACAAATTCATCTAAGAACTGGGCAAAGCGCGTGTGTTCATCTGAAATTACCGAGCTAAAGGAACCTGGCACCAGAAACAGAATTCCTGGTTCAGGCCCATTGCCGCCTCCCTTCAAGAAGGAGTCGCAGAGGATTGGGCCGCTTTGAATTCAATCATTTTCCAAGGGAACGCGCGCGTGCGCCAGGGGCATAGTAAAAGACAAACGCGATGTCCCCATATGATTTTTCGCGTTTGCCTACAGAGGAAGATCGAGGACTTGTCCTGAGATAAGCATGTTTGAGCAGATATATGTTTCCTTGTGTTTTTGGCTTTTGGCTTCTGTGGTGTTTGTGGCTTTTGGCTTTGGATGGCTTTTGTGATTCTGGCTTTCGGTGGCTGTTTGCTTTTGTAGCTTCTGTCGCTTTGCCGACTTTGGACTTTTGGTGGCTTTCTGCATGTAATTGCATATAATTATATAATATATAATATATATACATATGAGTATGAGTAACAAAGACTGTTTGAAAGATACGTCCTCAAAAGTGATAAATCCCTGAAAACTTTTGTGGCTTATGGCTCAGATGGCCACATCATTATGCATTATACCTCCTGAGCTAATCACAATCTAGCTGACATGGTCACATCCATCGCTTGCTATAGATGACCTCTCATGCACTGTGTTTCACTGTTTGGGGTCTCTTGCCGGGATAACTGTTCACTAAATGTTGCCGGAAGCGCATCAAAAGAAATTGCCTTAGTACAAATTAATACCAATCAATAAGCTGTGCAAATAATATGTCTATTAGTAAAATTGTTGAAGACTTTGGCTATTTACTGTCTACCGTCTACCGACTGTTAATATGAATATGTACACACATGACCTGCAAAAACCCATAGTGGTGGATGCTAAGGACCACCAGGCTTGTGGCTTGTGCCATTGGATCTCTTCCACCTCACCCAGATTTCAACATGGCTTCGTTCCGAAACATTCATGTATATATCCTGCAAAACCCCGCCACAGTGGTATCTTATATCTATATATCTACCTATCTATCATAAAAGACAATAATTATCAGAGGCTCTACATATACAGACCTCTTGGAAAGAGGAAAGAATCCACGATAGACCTTTTGAATTATCAGAGTTATCAGAGAATCTACATACAAATTACGATATTATGGAGGCAGAGGAAAACATATATATAGATCATACAGAGGCAGAGGCAAATCTACAAACAATACAAATTAAAGCCAGAACAAAACATAGGAAACCATGAAAGCCCATTGAAACAAAGAAAACAAAGAACAATTTCAAACCAATTGGAGAAGAAACCAACGTTAAAACAACAAATAGACACAAAACACTATACCACATTAAATCCGGGCCTTTTGTCCTGCCATGATCAGTTTGTGATGCCTGGAAAGCTGGATGCACACTTTTCCCACAGCGAGAGCTACTGGATTCTTACCTCAAAACGCTTTGGAGCTTGGATGTTGGTGCTGCTGCAGGGTGCAGCTGCACTGCAGGGTGCCGGTGCTGGATGTCTATGGCAGTGTGCGTTTGGGAGCCTGGGTGCTGGTGCCGCCGCAGAGTGCAGCTGCAGGGGGCTGCCCGCAGATACATTTGCTGCTACCTGTATGAAAATCAACACTTGAAACAATCACCGGTTTCAAAGATCTAAAAATAGTGACACTGCGCAATGAAATGCATGTACTTCCTGTGTGTGTGACACAGTGCAAAACATATATATATATATATGTGTGTGTCCTGTGCGGCAAGTTGTGAAACCACAGTGGGTCGTATTAGATGATTTATTGCACAGCCGGACGGACTTGTTCCCAAAACTAAAGCTTTCCATTTGGATTTCCTGGTAGTTTGTATTGTTGCTGCATCATGCTGGGCATGCCAGAAGCTGCATTAGGTCATGGAGGATGTGTTGGCAAATCTTACCAACAAAGAACCTTGTAATGAGACTGTAACTGCTTGCATGCCCTCGCGTGCAACGAAATGCGTTTGAAGCGTCAGAGTAGTTTGTTCGCTTCGGGCTTGATGTGCAGGATGCACAACACAATGTCCCGCGCTCACCTGAGCACTAATTCAGAGTCATCAGACAATGTAGTATTACGGGTGCTGCTGGTGTTTTTGCTGTTGTTGTTTTTTTCTTTTTGTTCTTGTACTTGGTGGGTTGTGCATGTTCTTGTTTCTTTTCTTGTGCCGGCGCCCGTTCTTTGGGATATGTAATTGTTTAAATATGGAAACGGTTCTGATGATGTGTTTTTCTTTTTCCAGGGGTCCCCCATATTGTTATGGTCCTGGTTCTTGTGTTTGTTCCTGTGTTTTTTGCTCGTGCAGGTATGTGTTCTAGTCCTTGCATTCGTGTTTGTTTTTGTGTTTGCTCCTGGGGTTTGCTTTTGTGGTTTTGTGTTAGCAGCTGTTTGCTTTTGTTTGCTTGTCCTGTTTCTTGCATTTATATAATTCTTGTTTTTGTGCTAGCTCTTGCACGTGTGTGTTTGTTCTTGCTCTTATTGCTCTTGTGTGTGTGTGTGTTCTTGCGCTACCTGCGCTGCTTGTGCATGTTCTTGTGTTGCTTGCGTCGGTTCTTATGTTTGTTTTTTCTTGTTATTTTGCTAGTTGTTTGCAATTGTCCTTATGCTTCCTCTTCTGCTTGTTGTTCTTATGTATTTGTGCTCTTATGTTTGTGTTTGTTCTTGTGCTAGCTGTTTGTTTTTGTTTCCATTTTTGTGTTTGCTCTTTTGTTTGTACTTTGTCTTGTGTTTGTTCTTGGGTTTGTTCGTGATTCTTATGCTCGTGTTCGTGTGTTTGTTTTTTTCTGCTATAGGTCTTGCGCTTGTGTTTGTCCTTGGGTCTTGTCCTTGGTCAATGAGGTGAGGTTTCATCTCACTAGTGAACAGTATTCATTGCTTCGTCGGCACGGGTGCTGTAGTTGACCTGCGTGCTGAAACAAACCGTGAGCGAAGGCTTGTGGTTCGAAGTTCCTATCTCTCAATCTTGTTGTTCTCGGCGGCTTAAAAGGTCTCAACTGAACATATCTCAACATCAGGAACAAAGGGCATCGCTACTAGGAGCAAGGACGCTACTAGTAACAAAGGGCATCGCTACTAGGAACACATTTCCTGATATTTCCTCCACGTGCACTCCGAGGCCAGGCACCTGCCTGGACCTGGAAATGGTGCGGGAACTCAGTCGGTGGGCCATGACATGTCAATTTCTCCGGCTTACGCCCTGGAAGATTAACATGGAACCCAAAAACCTCTGGGTTGTATGGGTTGTAGAGGAAAATCGTCTTCCAGTCTGGTCCATTTTCAGGTTCCCTGTGGGCCTCTTCCGGTGTGTAGATGTGCCGGACAGTGTTGCGCTCACTGAATGATGAATGGTTGGATGTTCTGAGAGGAAACGGCCTGTAGATGTACCTGTTGGGTACACGGTCAAAGGCACCCCCACCGTGCAGGACCGTCCGGGCGCGTTGCCCAATCAGCAGTGACTAGTTTGGCGTTCCAAGCACCAAACACGAATGATGGCACCAGGGGCATTTGTGTGATTTGCATGCTTTCCTCCTTCAGACGGTATGAAACGAAATATTATAGGTCATGAGCTGCCTCTTGTGGGCCCGGAAGATTCTGCGCAGAGCTAGATTTGCTTCTGAAAAGTCACGACCACATCACCCAGTGCAGCGGCTTCTTCCTCGTGCGGAAGCCGCTGAAGGTCCACATCCGCTTGCTTCAGCTGGAAGAGCGCGCTGCTCGAGAGGCTGCAGCCAAAGAATGGGCAGGGAGCCTCGCAAGTCCGCGGAACAGGTGACTGGACAGCCCTCGAAATGGTCCCCTGGTGCTTGGTCGGGGCCCAAGATGTTGAACAGTGTCCACATAAAACGAGGATGTGAGGCAATGACCTCCGCATACGCCAGCCCAAAAATGGGCAAAGGTGAAGGACGTGAAATCAGCCAGCAAGCCCAAAGAATCCTTCAGAATGAATATCACAAGATAGAATATTGCATGCATAATATTGCATATTTCGTCCAAGCAGACAATCGCATGTATCATATAATTGTACAAATTGTATGCAACACATTTATGAGTATGAACGCATACAACATAACATGCACACATTGGCGCAATGAACTGGTATTTGGGGCTTTGAATATTTTTTGGGGCGGGGTAAGTCGAAAACAATCAAGACTTTGGCCCATGACTCAAAAACCCAGGTCAATGGCGGTTGCCTTTTTTTGAGTAGGGTAATTATGTTTGGGGTCATGTTGCGATTGGGCTGGGTCCAACCAGCTCGGCCAACTAGAAGAAGACTGAGATAGCGTTCAAGCAAAGGTCAGACATCAGCCCCAAAACCCATCAATGGTTGCGTGCAAGCCTTTCGTTCAAACCTGTTTTGACCCATTGGGAATCATTGCGTGCCAGGGATTCGATTCTGCTTCCTGCTTCCAGATGATTCGGCATCATCGGCATCCTATGCGGGCATTGGCATCCGCAGCGTCTTTTATTTTTGGGATCCGCCTTGGGACAACCGCTTGCCACGGCCGCCATGGAGGTCACCACGCTCCACGGTTTGTCACCTGGATTTCTTAGGCTGACTCGGTGGACTTTTTCAGGGAAGCGACATGAAGCCACCATCCTCGGGCGACGGAAACCTGTGAAATGGATTGAACTGGACCCTGGCTCATTCGCCTTGGTAACTGTAAAAAGTCTCCAAAGCTGGTGGGTTGGTCACGAAATTTCAATTTCTTGCCCTGTTGTGAAAGTAAAGATGATTTGCTTTGGGCCTTAATATTGACGGGTGTTCGACTTCTGCGCCGTTCGACTAGCAACTAGCGGCTAGCTTTCTCTAACTGCCAACCGCACAGATGTGCCACCTACTGATATCCACTCAATGCATATGTATAGACATGCAAGCACGATGAGTTTGGTGGAGCATCCTACACTACACAAGAACGAGCACCGACCGGGAGAAGAAGTTGAGAGAAAATGCACAGATGTTGCAATCTCAAGTCCAGTGGTCTTTGTTACGTGGTGGCCTGGTTCTTGCTTTGCTTTGAGGAGGGGTTCCTTGAGGCGAACTCAAGCAGCTTTTTGATCCTTTTTGCTGGTGAATCCTTGGTAGATGAGTTAGGCCAGCCATGGCCAGCCGTCCCAAAATTCGCAAGTGTGAGCAGTCACACCGAGTCTTGGATCCTATTCACATAGCGTTTCCACAGTGCTAACAAACATAGTAACATAATGTAACATAGCCCTTTTGTTGTCCTTGGCTTGACGTCTCTACAATCCTAAACTCTTAAACTCTTGTGAATGTCAATGGTGTTTTCTGAGGTTGGAAGCCAGCGCTGCCAGGTGCCCAAAGAAGCTGTGCTTGGTCTACGAAGATCATCCCGGGCTCAGCTATGAGGAGCCCTGAGACTGTGTTTTCGCAAGTCGATCTCGGATGGCGGATTGGCCTCAGTTGATTCCAGTGCTGGAGATGTCACCAACTGAGTTGATGGCAAGCTAAACCACTGAGTTTGTAGCAAAACCGAGTCCAGTTACTACTTGCTTAGTAGGGGTAGCTTTTACACCCGTTGGAGATGAGTGGATGTAACATCTGTCACCATCCGAATCCGCACCTGCTAGTTGCTAGCAGTTCCACACACACGCCACGTGACCGACCTTGAAAGAACTGTATTGAATATTGGAACCCTGCAATCTTTGAGGGTCTGTTTTGAATTGTTTGAGTGTCTTGTGGGCAGAGGGTGGAGTGAAACAAACACGACGTTTGGTGAGATTCGTGACATTCGAAACATCTCAGCTGTGGGTCCAGTGCTACAGGTGCCGAGGAAGTTTGGAGTTTTGGGAGCGCTCGGCTTGTCGATATGTGGCACCAGGATACACCGGTGGACCTACCAGATCCTGGAAGGTCGTTCGTGGTCCTACCAGGGCTCCAGGTCTTCACCCCCCAAAACATGGTCAAACATTGATGGGGGGCCCCATGCAACGTGGACTCGAACCCCACCGGCGAGTCACACATTTTCATGAACGTTTCGACATCTCCGCAGGAGGTCTGGCGAGCTGTGACCCAATGCGCGCGACACTTGGTCAACCTGGAGGCACTTGGTCATCCATGCCGGTGAGTGACAGGGGTCAACATTGAACATAGACTGAGGCACTCCCTGACTCCTTTCAAGAAGACTTGGTGGATCTTGGTGTCATGTGTTTGAACTGGAGATTGGAGATTCTGCTTTGCTGGCAGCTGCTTCACCAGCATCACAAATACGGATTAGCTTGCCGGAGTGGTCGGACATGTTCGAAACACAGGGAGTGAAGCTCTAGGTTGGCTTTAGACTGTACAGTCTTTTGAGCAACTGGCAGGCTACAAACATGTGTGCATTGGAAGAATAAGTGTTGGTTGCACCCTGCACGGCACAGACTTCAGGAGCACCCGCCCAGAGAAGGTGAATCCCGCAAGTGAGAGGTCTCCGCACTGCAACTCGCATGCGGCTCTTCGGAGTCGTAAACCGCACGCCTGACATGGAAACTGAACGAAACTGGACCGTTCAAGACGTGGCCCATGCGCAGGACTTGCACAGTACTTTCGCAAATTACATGAAGGGTGCCGGGTGCCCCTTCCGGATGCACAGATTGATTTGCCAGATGGTAACTGGTTGAATGTTGATAATCAGTCACCTAGTGAAAATCGCCGCACTCTTCGCATGGCCTGGTCCACCTTTGTTCTTGATCAGGTCCAACATCGTAAGGGTGTTGCTCTCCAGCCGTTTGATGCATCCCAGCAGAAAGATGCAGAAAGTAATCGCACATGTTCAGATAACACTCGAACGTATGATAGTGAATTGAACTGGGGGTGCGGTTTTGAGTCTTTCGACTCGACTCAATCGATCAACTGCCCACCCACGCTCACCCGTCTATATAGAATATTATAGAATGCTCCAATGTCCAGCTTGTTCATCAAAAACATCCTTTCAGCAGTCCCATTGCTTCAAGACTATCCAAACTTGCTGTGGTTTCCAAGCACTACTCACTATATACTGCAGCAGTCTGTTTTTTTCCTCAAACAACATCGCTTTTCAGGGCCTTTTTTCAAACCAAAGTATCACACACTGCGATCAACAAGACCTACCTGATGGGCCTTTTCATTTTCCGACAGCAGAACAGCAGAACTGCCTTCCTGGCTGCCGGGCGGGCTGCCGAACGTCCAACGTCGTAACATGTCGTAACCCTCTAAAATCCATCACTGGCTCAAATGTTGCTTTGCACATGGTCGAAGCCATCATGAATAAGAATCTAGATGCCAAGGTAGATCAAAAAGCCCATGCTGACCAAATTCATGTTCTCCAGCAGGTGTGGAATCCATTATTTCACCAGATCTTTAAAGTAAAAATCACACCGATCTCTGCAGGAGGCACAAGATATTGATGATTTATACATGATTTTGGGAATGATCTGGCTGATTCAACAGCAAAACAAGTTAATTAACAAAATGGACATGTCCATGCTGCTTGAAGCATCTCGTGAAATTCTAAGTCATACTGAGCGACAGATTGACGCTCTACACAAAATTTATACACACTTAGCAGACCTTGATGTGCTCCATTCTAAGCTTAAGCTTGAAAAAGACAAGGAAGCAGCTGAGTCCCACCAGTTTAGCACATTGGATGCATATTCCTATTTTAATAAGACAGCCCTCAGCCAATGGAATGTAGGAACACCTTTTTGGACCTTTGAAACCCATTTGCCAGAGGTTGTTGCACAAGCTTTCGGTGGCCTATCGTGTATGGCATATGGACTGCGCTTTTTTCGGTGGCGTTCTCCAGACCAGTCCCCGGTTCCGGGTGATTTTGGCATTTGCTGGAGCTTGCAATGAGCTATGCAATTCATACTGGTCGCTTTTTTCCTAATTTGGATCTATGCTAAGGATAGAAAATTACCAACACCTCATGATGTTCATTTTCCAGAAGCTACAATAAAACCATGGTGAAAGAAAAGTCTTTGGAATCAAGCCGGCATCCACGATAATTAGTTAGAAAATACACTCCAATGTGCCTTGTATCCCCGCTTGATTCGCCTTGGATATCATCGCAGTTTGGTGGAGGGCATCTCGGCCCGCCCATATTTGTCATTTGCCCAGCAACTCATTGAACATCTCACCTCGTATGCCTTTTTGGAGCTGGGTTATCCTTTGAATGTTCGGGCCGTTCCACAAATACAAGCAACGATCTCGCATTGTGCCCCACCATATCTAAATATTCCGTTCGATAAAGGCCGCAGAATCTTCGTCAACGCATTTATATAAGTTTAAGAATGAATTCGCCAAAAGGAATCTCTTGAACAATTGACTATTCCAAATTAGGTGCTAGATTGTCTCGGATGTGATAATTAACCAAACTCTGTCTCACTGTGTCTTAAACCGGTGTGGGTGGTGGTTGCACGTTTTGTGGATACATTGTTGACTCGCACATAGCAACCCTCTGGCATCCCGCGATGTGGCAGGGTTTTTGAGGGGCGAACGATCGATCGTGAGTTGGTGTGGACCGTTCAAGACGATTTGACCAACCCGTGGTTTTCGGGGTTGTGAGCCCATCGTCAGTTCTCGCCCGGCGGCCATCTGGGGTGATGACGTGCGGGTGACTGACCGCTACAGGACCAGGTGCTTGCTTTGGTGGCTGACCGCTCGTTGGGCCTGGTCATCAGCTTGTTGGGTGTGCTACGCGCCGGGAAGGCCCTCTGATCCGGGGGCAGGCGTAACTTACCTCGGGCCCAAACGGTGTATGGCGATCGAAGACCCAGCGTAGCGTTCTCGTTCTCCTGGTGTATGGCATGGGGACGGGGCGCTTTAGAGGTCATGTGGCAAAAAGAGAATGGGATTGTACATTGTGGATGAGATTGGAGGAGTATCGTTGTGTAGTTGTGTGGGTGGGTTTGAGAGCTTGGTGTTTGAGATGAGCATGGCAAACATGAAGAAAGTGATCTTGTCCTCCAAATGTTCACTGAGTCCATACTCTGTTCCATTAAGTAAGTTTTCAGTGAAACTCGCATAGCCATGGTTGATTGCTCACTAAGGCGCAGATTTGCCTACATGAGAACGGTCATACGGCAGTTATGTTTGTTTTCCAGCAGTTATCGAGCAACCGTAATGAAGGGTTGGTTTGGTGATGCTCGGTTGCACACACTATCATATCATGATATATCATGCTCTCTTCATGGCTCAAGCTTTTGTGGGGGTACTCGCCACCTAAAGGACCCTATACCTACATTCTACATTCTATTCATTCCTATTGAACCAAGATTACAATGAAACCTATTATTGGATAGTATTGGCTTTTTGTTTGGTGCAGCCAGGGAGTTGAACAGTAGTAGGCCTCACGGTCGCCACTCCGCTTCGCCCATTGGCCAATTCCACAGTGGCTTGGAGTATTGTCTTTGGATCGTTTCATGAGGCCTACACCCCCATCGAGCCTGATTTCCCTGTGGCCCGCGCCAGTGCCATGCTGGAAACTGCGGACATCAGGCCGAGCTAGAGGATGAGAGCAGGGTGAACACTCGGAAAGTCCAACAAGATCCAAACAGCCTTTGTAGTCATGCCATGTCATTCCCGTCAGAGCGAGAGAGAGAGAGAGAGAGGGAGGGAGGGAGGGAGAGAGAGACCGAGCAACACAAAAAGAGAGAGAGAGAGAGAGAGTGGGGCTTGTTGGATGACGTGCAGCGTAGCCACCACGAGATGTGAAGGGACCAGGGTCATTCGTGGCCAGTGGATCAGCGCGGCTACTGTACATGAGATGAAAAGGCTAAAGGGCTTAAGCTCGGGCCGCCATGAGCAGTACTGAAAAGACTTGTTTTTTGTCGTTTGTGAGTTGTTGAAGGGTCGCACGAAAGCAAGCGGTCGTGGACCCCCACCGGCGAGGCATGTGCTGGTGCCCAAGGAGCAGTTTCCACAGACTCTCGGAGCAATCAAGGTATCAGATCCCTTAAGGCAGCGGAATGACATGGATGTGTTGTTTGTTTATGTTTGTTTACTATGTCAGTGGCTCCAGATACCACCATGTCACATGTCATGTTGTTAAATTCTATCACAACGCACGACATGTCGGGTGACGTGTGGCATCGCACGATTCCACAATCTAAAGCACAAACACGGTAAAGCACTTCCTCGCAGAGGTCGTGAAATGGGTTTGAAGGACGGTGAGTGTCAGATGAAGGACGGTAAGTAAGCTAGGGTCCAAGCACCCAGGCCGATTCTGGCATCCTCCACGGGTTTTCATGGGGCGAAGACACCGACTCATGAGAATACACAAGAGCAGGACTTGCTGAACATATATAGGTGTGTATTCATGTGTATTCTGAAGTCATCGAAAGGGGATGGCACCACGTCCATTGGTAAAAGACCTATGGTCGTCCAAGGGGCCATTTGGCACTTCGAATCCAATCAGAAGCCACCCAACACAAACCCCTTGCATGTGGGCTTGAAGATGCTGCCCGACTCGCTCGACCCGCTGCCTGAAGACGCGGGGACCGACTTGTAGGGCGGGAAAGAGAGGGCCAAAGAGGGCATTGGAACACAGGTTGAAGGACCTTACGATCAAACTGAGTGTTTTTGGACTATCCCAGACTGGTACCCCAGAATGGTTCTATAAGGTCACTTAACCTCTCTTGGTACACCAGTGGTGTTTTTTTCTTGCCAAGTGGAGAGGTTGGCCAGTTGGTGACCAGGCTGTTAGATCAATGATTTTGTGGGCCTTTGGAGCGAAGGCGAGTGCGAGTAGCTTCAGGCCAGGCCAATTTCGTTGGAATCTTCGGACCCCAACACCACCAACCGGGGACTAACAAATATATACATATATATATATATTTATATTTATATCACATATATATATATATATTATATGTATTATTCTATGGCGGTATTGACATGTATTGACCACAGAATGTCCATTCACTAAGGCCACTGCTCCACGATCTCTCTGTCAAGCCTTTGTTGGTCGACCTTGGCGGCGCGGTGTGCCTCGCCAGCGGCGAGCCGTTGGACGCGGACCGCGGCCGCCTGCCAGAGGTCCCGGACCACAGCACGGCATATGCACCTTGGGCTCAGTGGTCAGCTGGGTTTGGGTGGTCAGCTGACACGAGAGGTTAAGTGACCCGAACTAGAACCATTCTGGGGTACCAGCCTGGGATAGCGTATAAGGTCCTTCAACCTTTGTTGGCAGCTGGATGATATTGTAATTATATTGTATAATTCATGATGATTCTGGGACTTTGATGGCGACCTGTGTCCCAGCCTTGCGATGTGGACTCCTGAACACGACAGGTCATCGAAGGGTCCACTGGGCTGCTTGGGTATGGAGCTGGGCTATAGTACCCAGACACTCCATGTATGGCATATTTACCTACATTGGGGTGGTTTGGGGGGTCAATGTAGGCATATATGGCATACTACATGGAGTGTTTGGGGTAGGATCTCTATCCTACTTGTCCGTCCGCTGTGAAAAAAGTGATCCATTCGCTAGGAAAAGTTGTTTCTCTCTCCTGGTTCCTTTGGATTTTGCCCATCCTGTGGAGGGTCATAAGGGAACCCTCACCCTCACTCAACCGTTGGTCACGAAATCTTGACCGTAGAATCCGCTTCATCATGCTTCATCCTTGAAGCGCCCAGGTGTTGTTCACCTCTGGCTCCACTGGAAAGCCTAAAGGCTGCATGGTGCCACACCGGGGCAGCGCCTTGTATGCTCGTGCCGTGGTGGAGCACTGCGCACTGGATGAAGAGATGACGTTCTTGCTGAAGACGCCGTGTGTTTTTGACGTCTCCGTGCAGGACGGAAGAACTGATGAAGCATGAGGTGAATGAAGAGGTTTCACTTCAAAGAGGGACTCGTATTTCCTTGTCACCAGACACCAAGGAAGTGATTGCATATTTCTACATTATAAGCTATTTTCGAACACAAGGTTTACTGTAGTCTTTTAAGCAGGTATCATTATCATCCATTGACTTCGTGAGCGGCCGATCTTCCACCGCTCTTGTGGACATGAAGATCCTCCACCGATCCTGCACCATTGTTGCAGGACCTGTTCACTGCATTTTGCGCTGGTGGCACGTTGGTCATCGCGAAGCCAGGCACGGGCGCGGCGCGAAACGGCCACTCAATATGGGGCATGTGAGCCACTCATGGGTGGCGTCATTGACCCTGGATCTTCCAAAAAATTATGGTAGTTGTGGTTATTGACCCGGGTTTTCCGCGCAAACGGCTGCAAATCAGCGCGCAAATTAGCGCAAAACGCACGCAAAACACCAGCAAACGACCACACAAATCCGCAAGATAATGCAAAACTTAACAAACAAAACGCCAAAACAACCATAACACGAAAACGACTATAGAGTTTTTTGGTAGTTGGAAGGTCCACGTGGTTCGAATCATGTTAATGATAGGCAGGTTCGAACGTCGGGACGGGGGGCGATCCTCGGCGGCCGGCGGGCGACCGCTCGCTCCAAGTCCGGCCTAAGTGTGGACGAATCATCCGGCCGGACTTGGACACGAGCCTTTTGTCCGGTCTTGTGACGGTCTTGGACCATGGTGCAAGGTGATGCTCTTGTCCCCCCAAGATCCTCTTGGGCCCGAGCAATCCAGGTCCGAGCACTATCCTGACCGTATGCCCAAGGGTCCCGACCGAGGTCCGGACCGAGGTCCGGGGGATGGACTCGGACCTCGGACGCCAGACGGCAGGCGCCCACAAGGATGCTGGAGCAATGGCAGAGCTCATCAGCACCAAGGCCGGTTCTCCAAGAGATCGGCTACTCGCGGCCATAGTGAAGAGATTTGGGCTGGCGAACAGTCCGGAAACCCGCAGAATGCCCAGGGTTTGGAAATGCACATTCAAAGACCAGAAGACATTCCAAATGCGCATTCCAGTGGCAGTTACACCTTAATATGGTTGATCGGTCATTTGGGAAGGAAGGAAGGAAGGAAGGTGACCTGTCTTCGATGCCGTGCGCTGCGGAGGCGGTGAACTGCGCTTGCTTCGTGCCCACGCTGCTGGTGGAGTTCACGAACTACTTGGAACGCAGCCCGCAAGAGGCTCTTGAGGCGATGTGAGGAATCAAGACATCACATGTGGTACTGTATGTCAGACAGAAGTGGTAAAGATGTGGATGAAGAACTGACTTCCCCTACCTCCAGTGGGATCATTAGCCCTACAGGATGAAGTAGAAGCTTTTGGGCACCCAAAAGCGGCTTGGTGAACTACATCATCGCGCGGATCAACGAATGGGTTAAACAAGGTCAGGGATCGCATTGACTCGACCCACAGCCGTTCACAGACTGACTCATCGATCTTTTGTATCAATCGACTAGTGGTCAACCTCCCCAAACGAATCGTGGGAATTCCTCGCACCTCCAAATCGATTCCTTTCCGCCACCGGATCATGTGCGTTCCTTTGAAGATATACACTCCCGAAAAATTCACATTGACATGCACCGGGTCGAATGGTGCCCTGAAAGATCGTTTTCCTCTACAAACCACTGGTTTTCAGGGTCCGTGTTAGTCTTCAGCAGGGCATTCTTTAGGGATGCTCACCTCCATCAACTGATGACATACCCTCCGCCTATTTGGGTAGGTTGCAAAGTGCTTGAAGCGTGTGCTGACCATTGGGGAAGCTTTGATGACGGCGACCTGCAAGCAAATGTCTCCTGGAGATAGTCAGTCAGATGCAGAAAAGCATAAATCGTTGTCTCACCAGTTCCAGTCGTTTATGGAAATGCAGATCAAAGCTTTGACGCTACATCGACTGCCACAGGAGTGATTCAAGGGGCCCACCAAGGAGAAGCATAGATTAGCGCGGGGTTGTGGGCTCGTGGCTGCGCGGGAGCACTGAGTTCACAATTCGAGTTAAACTGTTTCTGTGTTTGATTCCATAACGGCATTTAGGAGAGGAACGCAAGGATCTACCAATCAAGGCATCCGAGAGTTGGGAGAGTAAGCTGGATGTTAAGACTCAAGTTAAGACTGTTCAATCGGAAGAGACCTCTTTTGAACCCATAGAAAGTTAGCCCATTAAGAAAAGAAAGTCATTGCCCGGACAACTTGCTGAAGCCATTATATATATATATAGATCAAAATTTGAAGGGCGGCATGCGGCATATCTTTCAAAGAAGGCGTGGATGCATTTCTTGCGGGCTTTATGGTTCGTCAAGAAGAAAGTGATAATATAACACGTGTCTTCTTCGCATGAGGAAGACAAAGAGGAGCATGTGCAATGGTCACGCCTGCGCTTCAAAGCGGTAGGTCTGTTGGAGAGGTGCGAACTGGGAAGATGGAAGCAAGGAGCGAAGGACCGCAAAGTGCTCCGTGCTCGAATTAGAGCTTCGAACTTGCCAGCACTGAACACCATCGAGCAATGACTTGTATCAGGGTTGCATCCAAGCCGGCAGGAATGGAAACGCCTATCGCTGCTACAAAAGGAAACTTTAAGGATGTGCCATTGTGTTGCGAGTGCTCTCGGGAAGATGCCAGTATGTGGGAGCATTGTAGTCGTATTCCCCCAAAGTTGTGAGAACCTGGCAGGTGTTTGGGCACAAGCTTCCTGTTTTGCCTTAAATGCCCCCCAGGAGAACCAATTTGTGTTACTCGTTTTCCTTTAACGACCCGCCCAAAACAGATATCATAGAAGAATCATGAACGATGTGATCACCTTCGCTCGTCCACCACCTTTCTCCATCTTTGGTATGGCGAGTTTAGTTAGCGCCGCGCCCTTTTGCCAGGCCAGCTTGCTGAAACCAATTGGCGCAGATAGTATTCGCAATCATTGGTAGCAACAGGACCACTACAGCACAGGAAGCCGCCAAGTCAATAGAGTTAGAAGCGGCACCCTATCACGTTCCAAGTGCAGTTCAGCAACTGGATAGTCCCGATTTCTGACAACAAGTCCAACATGATGATCTCCGAACATACACTCATGCACAGTTTGCATGTTTTTGCCAGCGGGCTGAGAATAGCAGTGTTTTCTGTAAATAGCAGTGTTTTCTCATGTTTCCTCCGTGGCAACATCTTATTGCATGGCATATGTTTACGTTGCCTTTGTGCATGTTTTTTGCTGAAATTAGGTTGTGTTTCGGAATTTTACGCTACTTCTTCGGGAATGTCCATGTTGTGTTTCTATGTCTATTTGTTTATGCTTCTATCATCGAGACTCTCATCATGCGTGTTAGATGCATCTTTGAACTTTGGGAGTGGGGTGGGTGGGTGGGGGGTTAATGACGTACGGCCCCCGATGTGCAACGTCTTGGGCTTTTTTTACATCATGCGACTCAATGCACCTTCGTCGCGGTGTTTTCTTGACTATGTTAAGAACATATATCATGGTTTGCTCCTGTCGCTGGTTCAAGATTTTTCCCTTTTGGCAGGCAGCATGGCTGCCCTAAGTGGTTGCGGTGCTGTCTGCCGAGTGTACATCTTGTTACTTTGTTTTCCGGCTTCCAAGATGTTGAGTGTTTCTGCAGCAGTGCCGAAACGCAGGTTTTGAGATGTTTTTGAACCCACCGGTTGAAGGTTGATGACCAAATAACTCAAAAACGCAGGCGCAGTTGTCAGCCCGGCGGGATTTTTTGTTCCTAAGGGCTGCGGTATTCCTTCCGGAGCCATCGATCTGGCTTTTGCACCGGACTTGCTCACATGTGGTCATTTCGATCCGCAATAAAAATTGAACACAGAGGCGGGGGACGATCAACGGTCAACGTCAATGCAGCACAACCTCCGGAAATGTGTTGGTGTCTTCCTTCCAGGCTGCCTGATCAAAGGGTTTGCACAACCGAGGTTCAGCTTCATCCCAGATTTGCAGATCCACAACCTTTACGGCCCCACGGAGGCTTCAGTGGGCGTCAGCAACTTGCCGCAGTCGTTGAACCCAGGTTGCACCCCTCCACCGGCTAAAGCACGAAGCTTCCAAACAGAAAGCTTGCCCCGACAAATGAAGAACGACCGTGAACATTGATGTTAAGAACCGTCATTCAGCCTGATGGTTTAAACATGTTAAAAACTCATTAAAACACACACACACACACCAAACAACAACATTATAGTAACTAAGGGGTCAGACATGTTTTCAATGTTTCCTTCACCGAAACCCTGCGAGTTGTTCCAGCATGCGTTCAAGTTCACTTCCGTGTGGTCAACAGCCAACAATGCTAGCGAACCTGGCATTCTTCCCTCAAAATCTATGGTTTCTGCCAAGCCTCCAGCAATCTCAAGCCACCTAAGATGACTCCCACGTTATTTCTGGCTAATGGGGGGGGTGGGGGCCAAAGATCCAAAGTGGGAAGACCTCACCAAGACGAACGGTGGACTGCCACTGTGAACGAGGCCACTTTGCAGTTACGAAAGCCACAGCGGAGCGCCTACCGACAGTGGTGCCCATTGGTCGGCCATTTGACTACGTCACCTTTTGCGTGTGCGACCCCAGCCGCTACCGCTTCTGGGACAGAAAGAGCAAGACCCGAAGTTGGAGTTGTTGAAAGTGTGAAGCGCTCAAGAAAAAACTTCCACCACTAGACTTAAGAATGCTTCAGACATGTACGAACCTTTGGAAGAATTCTTGCACTCCAGAAGTTTGGGTCACCCAAAATGACCCTTTTGCTTGGCCCACGCCAGTGTCATCCTCTTCACATGTAGACAATGTAGACTCTTGATGACCACCCAAAAAGCCAACGACCAGAGAATGTACAGCCCTGGATATGAGAACATCTCGACATCTCATTCATCCACCGTTAAAAATGCGGCGCCCAGGGCGGCCCCGCATGACACGCCGCGCATGACAGGCGCAATTCTTCGATCAAACCCGAGGCGATGAGAAGATCACCGAGGCCAAGCTGATCCCAGCGCCTGCGGGGCAAATCGGCGAGCTCTTCATCGGAGGGGCCTCCCGACAGCGGTGGTTGGTGCGACGGGTGGGGTTGCACAGCCTAAGAAAGGTTGGCTGGGAGGCTCCACTAGGCTGGGTGGATCCAGGTCGATCCAGAGGTGGTTGAAGATTGATTCAGTTTACATCAATGGGCAACACGCCACACCGCCACACGTGTGCAACAACTAAGATGCAAAGTGAAGTAACACAAGATATGTTTGTCTTCAAAATAGTTTACTCATGCTGGACATGGGCTGACCCTTGAAGGATGTTGCTGCTCTTCAACCGGTGAATCTTTGTTCGCCAATCGGCAAAGTTGGGTTGCCACCAGTTGGATACCAGGTTGCGACGTCCGCAAGAAACCCAACCAAGACCTGGAACCCTATCTCACACATGACATGACACATGGAAAGTGATTTCCTTCCTTCAGTCGGATTCGATGCTGCAGTCGGAGGGAGAGCTGCTGCTGTTGGGTCGCCCCTGAGGAAAAACAAACACAAGCAGTCTTTCGTGCAACTCTTTGGGTGAGAGCGGGTTCCAAGCAAGACTTAGATGAGGATGATGAGGTTCGTCCCTTCGTTCTTAAGGTATCCAAAGGTATCCAAAGGTGCTAGTGTTGCTGCTGATCTTCTGCTGCTGGCTGCCTGCTGCCTGCTGGTTGCTGCTGCTTGTTGTTGCTTCTTGTTGCTGCTGGTCTGCTGGTCTGCTGCTGGTTTGGTGGTTTGCTGAGTGGTTTGCTGCTGCTGCTGCTGCTGCTGCTGCTCTACTGGTGGTTTCGAGACTGCTGCTTCTCACCCGTCCTTGCTTACCAACCTTACCCCCCTGTCGCAAGTCAGGGGTGTCTTTTCATTCAAAGGTGCTATTGATATTGTTGGGCCCCACCTGGCCACGAATTGTTAGTCTAGTCTAGGGAGGCCAGATAGTGACAGGAATTGGCAGTTGCTTCCCCAACAGACATGGATCAAAACGCTTCAGTCTTTCTCCAGAGTTGTGTGAATGAAGCTACGTTTCTGGCAGACCTATCGACTGAGGATTGCTTGGCCACGGGCTACATGAAGAATATGGAGAAGACTGAGGTGACAGGGGTGGATCAACAGCAGGTCTTCGACACCGGATCCGTCTATATTATATAAATCTGATTGTAGCACACGAAACCAAAAGCGCCGGAGACGAAATGCGAGTTGACTCGCCGCAGAGGCTCCCAAAATGTGTGAAACAAAGGGTGACGAAATTGAGCTCCAAATTCCTGGCACTTCGCTTGGTTGGACTGCCAATCTTCACTTGGGGACGGCCTTCCAGTCTTTGAGATACCTCCTGGATAAGTCCCGGATGATCTGGATGCGTGCGTGCCTGTGTGTCATGGATCGAGACTAAGATTCTTCCGATTTGGCCATTTAAAGATGCCATAGAGTAAGCTGTCACAAAGCATATAATGATTGAATGAAACTCCCATGTACTCTTAGCAATCCGCAACATTCAGCAACCACAAGAGCAAAAACATAGGAGGCCTCACCTTCCATGCACACTGTCAACAGAAGATGCATCCCCCATTCATCCCCCTTCTTCGGAGCGTGAAGAAAACTCCAAAGCCAGTGGCCTTTTGGCCGAACACAGATGTGCCAGGTGTTTGTGATCAGCGTTCAGCGCCGATCGTCACCAGGCTGCCTTCTTCCACTTCCCAGCCATTTGCGGCCGCCCGCCCTTGGCGGCTTCGCCCTACAGCCTCTACAAGACAGGCAAGATTGGATCAAATTGGTGTACGTTCTTTTTGTTCACTGCTTTCCACGTGTTGAGAAGGATGAGGTGATCTTAAGTTTAAGGCTATGTATGTGTTCAACGGCAAGAAATTCGGGAAGTATTGCTTCCCATGATCAATACCCAACGCAGTGTTCTCACTTTTGGTCAAGGACACCAGGAATTGCACCAGAAAAAAATGGAAGCAGTGTTGGGTCACTGCTGCAATTTATGCAACTGCCAGTTCCCCATTCCAGCTCAGTTTTTAGTCAGAATCAACCATTCAATTGAATGTATAACATGATTGATATCATGATTGCTCCTCTCATCACTCTTATTCCTTTCCCTGGAACCCGCGGGGTCGGAGAGGAATGACCGCCAAGGTGACTTGTGCAAGGTGGATGCTGATGGCATCTTTCACTACATGGGCCGCAACGATTTTCAGGCGACCGACCTGAGCGATCTGAAACGGTTAAAATAAGAGTGGCAGGTGCCAAGAAACATGACTCAGAAATACTCAAAGCGGGTTCAGGGAATTTCAGGGATGGCCTGGAATGGCTGGTGGCCTGGAATGGTATGCACCCTCGGAAGTACCCTCGGACCATGCTTCAAAACTGCACCTTAACGGGTGTTCACCCCAAAGTAAGGGTTTTTTCTACACGGTCTCTATGGTCCTGTGTCCCGATGATAGTCATCGCTCGTCCAGATGACCCAGATGACACTTGAGTGTGAGGCACAAAGGTGACGCGGATTCGGCAGGGATTTGCACCAGGACGAGTCGGACGGCACATCCACTGTAAAAATCCCTCCGACTCACCAACACGGAAAGCTTGGATGACGATGTTCCTTTACTAACCGGGTGGTTTCCAGTTCCACGTGAGTGAGAGACAGTAACTCATGTGCCACAGCGTCCTAGCGTCCTAAATATCGACTCGAGTCATAGCGAGGACTTGGGGGAAGGGTGGGACACAAGTCAAAGCTAGTGGACCCTGGCGACTCGAGTCATAGCGTCCAAGAGAGCAAGTCAAGTCAAGTCATAGCTCTCTTCTTGAGCTACCCTGGCGAGGTCAAGATCTCTGGAGTTCGCATCGAGTGCGAAGAGGTCGCGGCAGTACTGAAGGAACATCCGGTCGTCGCGGACGCCTTGGTCACCGTTCCATGGCTTAGTGGAAGAGGTATTGCGGTTGGGGGTGTCCTATTGCCGGTAACAGTCGATGAACAAGTCTCATGTTTTTGGAAGAAGGCCTTCACCAAGCATTATCATCCAGTGTTGTGGGGAATAGGATGCACACACCCATTGTGGTACGTAAATGTAGGTACAATGACCTGCACCCCCTAGCCAACCGCTGTTTGGAGCTTAAACTGGTATATCGCAAAGCTGTTGGGCCGGGTATGTCACATGTTCTGTAGGTGTTGCGTATTATATACAGCTCGTCCACATTGAGATGGCAGTCAGAGCAGGATTGGTTGCACCACGTTGCACCAACGCCATGTCCAGAAATCCGGCTGTCAGATTGGTAGAGGGAGGAAACTCCAGTCAGCCATGAAATTTGGAGGTTCTCAAGTTGTTTGGGTTGAAGATGGCTGTGGAAGCACCATGGCATGACATGGTCCTTAGCTTTCTCGTTGTGTTGGACATCTCGTCATCCCGATCTTTGGCAGGTGCGCATCCATCGAAGGGTGGTGGCGCATCCATCCATCTGAAAGTAAGAAGATAGTAGTGGTGAGTCCGGTGGGTGTTGGTTAGTCTTTGTCAGAAACTTGTAACTTGTATAGCCATGGGCCATGTATGGCAATTTATTTTGTTTTAAGTAGTTCGATCCTCGGTTGCTGCAGGCTGAAGTCCGGAACCATGTCCTCAGAATGAAACGGTACTGATACGGTACTGGGACAAATCATGACAAAGGAGTTGTTATACTCCCTGAAACTAACATGGAAGTGGAGTTCACCCCCTGTTTGTAGAGGAAAATAGTCTTCCAAGGGACCATGCCATCCACTTTTCATGTTAGTTCCGGGGAGTGTAATCAGTGTAATCCATAGTGTAATCCATTTTATATGCTTCCATCCTGCCGACCTTCGCTTCCGAGTCGAGCGCTTACTTGGACGCATGGGCTCGTGGTTTCGCGGAGCCCGACTTGCGACTGAGGCTTTCGAAGGTCCATACGGAAAGGCTTTGGCTGCCTATGTGGTGACTCCCCCGGCCATCGACTGGTCCTCCTCCAAAGACCCTGCCTCCAACGATGAGATTTTGAACGTGAACAGTTGGGGGGCAGTCTATGATGAGATGTACAAGGACAGATGCATAAGGTATACCAGAGGACATTTCTTACCAAGTTGTGATAAACTCCGATTTTTCAACATGTTTGCACACAGCCCTGCTGGAGTTCAACGTTTGGAGCAGAAGCTTTTAATCATAAGCGTGCGCGTGGTGGAACTACTACCTCTATATTGGATTATGTGTGATTAGTTTTTAGCGTTGCCTCGCCTAGCCGCCTGCCCATTCGGTGCCGCGAGAAACCATTCACGCGGCGTTTTCAATCCGTTGACGCGGTTGGTTCCGGAACGCGTTGGACGTGCGCCGAAATGGCCCCCCGGACCTGAACAATTGCACCCGGAGAGGAGACCGAGAACAGTGTCTCAAGCCTGGACCCCACCTTGAATTGGAGCGGCTACACGGCAGCTGGGTTTTAAAGCCACGAAGCGGGGGCGGTGTTCGCATGTGTTCGTGTGGAGATCCAGACATGAGAAAGGGGTAGGCAGTTGCTGATTCATTGGGACATGACTTGCGAGGTTGCGGAGTAGAGCTGGTGAAGACTTCGGGTGGATCAAGCTTGCTCGGGAGGTTGAGGCAATCCAGTGCCCACAAAAGCATCCATGCCCATGATTGAACTGATGTTGGAACCCATTGGCATTGAAGACTGCATCTGCCAGCATTTGCCGGCTGAGGATACCTATTCTCGGAGGCCTCACATCGAGCCCGTGATCAAGGAGTGGGTAGAATGGAGCTGCCAACAGGCTGGGTTTGGATGGAGCCAACGAGCAAGAGCATCAAGCTCTCTAGCAGGGCAGCAGACCATTTCATGACGGTTCTTTCGTGACGCCACGCAAAAGAGTGTGCATTTTTGGGTCAATGGTGAGGTTGAATTGCCCTTGCTGTTTCGGTGAGTTTGTCTATTTCGCCGAATTGGTAGCCTTCTTGGTGACGCACGCGCGTCTTCCAGCGATTCGGATGCTTCGCGCTGGAGGTGTCATCTCAGGCACCGCTCTTGAAAGAAAGCCAGGCCGGAGTAGGAAGGTGGAACTTTGTCACGCGGGAAGAGGCTCTTAGATCCTTTAGAACTGGCTTAGAATGAATCAAATATGAACTACTACTCAATGTTTGTGAAAATAGAAATCCCCTTCGAGGATTGGCATACACGGCATAGACATCAACTAAGCTATCAAGTTCAGAGGAACACATTGCTTTTGTATGTAATCCTTATATAAAACCTAAAACAGAAAGCACGGCTCCCCCCATCACCCTTTACAAAAAAGAACAGCTGACAACTCCGGTTGATTTGTGGGAAATTGGGGTACCTAACATGTATTAACATGTTTTGAAATATCAAACAATTGGGAGTCCCTAACGCAGGGGAACCTCAAAGATGCAAACCTGGGAAGTTATTGGAAGAGCTTCAACACCGAAACGTTGCCAGGACGATTCATACCCCCTTTGTGACCACCCTCTCTGAGGGTAGCCAAGATGACTCAGGAAGGGACAGATAAGAAGACAGAAGACGTGCGTTCCCAAACATCCCCCAACTAACAATAGCGTCAATAGCAACCCTCAAATTTAAGTAGTAGAAGGTAGACGGGGTAGTTGAAAACCAAGGAGAAACTGTTTGAGTCTATCAGGGTCTCCGACATGAGCTTCTTTTAATTGGGGAAAAGGGGTTTTAGAGTGGTATCCAGGATTATATGATTGTGATTAATTGTGTATGTTCTGCACTATTGCAAAACCAAGAATTCCCATCTCCAAGACTGCTTTATGCAAAACCCCCAGCTATATAGTCCTCTCCAGTCTTCACGAAGTTTGAGCAAGAGTTGCTGAGTTGTACTCACCCGTGCCAACGAGCAATAGAAATTGACCCCGCTGGCCGAATGGAAGATTGCCCAAGATCCGCCGACACACCGCTCACGGACGATGTTGAATGCTGTTGAAGGTGCAGCTCTCAACCTACGCCAGGCAGCCGGTCGGACCTGTACCATCACTGAGTTGGGCTGCGGCAATGGCATGCTCCTTTTCCGGCTTGCGCCATTGCTCGGAAGCACAGGCGGGGCCGTTTCCAACGGCTTGTGTGAGTCCTACCTGTTTGGGATTCGCCAGGCTCGTGGTAACTGCAAGTCCTACTCATTGTTTTTTCAGGGTTTCCTATGTTTCCTCGCCTTCAACAGCTCCACATATATTACGTCACTATTCATACATATAGACATGTAATTACGATACATGTATATGTTGTTTATGTATGTATGTCTGTTTATATATATATATACATACATAATATCTTTGTTCAAGTTGTCATGCTTGCATCCCAAAGAAAACGCAGAGTTACAGGTGAGCACGCTGCAATCCATGAGGCAACTGGTTTTCTGGAGTATAGGGATCAGAACGCTAGGAGTGAACCAACGGAATCCCTGTTCCATGAGTATTCAGGAAACAGGTCCACCTGGTTGCAAAAGCAATATTCGTGACTCCGACAGAAACATAGAGAAACAAACCGTTCTCAAATTACTCCACTAGTTGATTCGGGTTGTCGCGAACCCATGAACATGGAATCCTAGCCAACCTACATCCAGTGTCCATTCCATCCATTCCAAACACCACATGGCTTCAGGGCGCTATGTGGGCACCGATATCTCCACACGTGCGTTGGAGACGGTGAATGAGCTGAAGAGGACCTTGCCACAGTACCAGGCCCGGCCCGTGGTGTTGGACCGTCCAAGAGGTAAAGCCTGCTCAGAACTGGAGACGCCAGAGGGCTGAGTGAGGCGGATTTTGAGCTGGAAGAAGAGGTAATGCCACGATGTGCAGTGAGGGCTAACATCCAGACAGAGACACACCACAGCAACATGCCATCAAGACAAAGACCATGGAGTGTAATGGAGTTGATGCTTTCCGTTGCCCTTTCCACGCACCATGTGACAAGTTGCCTTGCTTGCATTCCCATGACGCCCCGGACCCCAAGCGAAGTTCCCCTTCAGGACTTGCGCGTTGACACGCAAGCGTTGGCAGCCCATGAGATTTTGGAAGTTTGCAAGCCCAAGGCGGGAAGGATATTTAAAAAGGCATAATACCTACCGCATTGAGTCCCATGATACTGATACTGAAGGTCATTGGGGTTTGCGACTGAGCTTGCTGAGCTTGCGACTGTTAGTGTTTTCAGTCTTTGAGGCCACTGAGGTCACTGGATTGTTCCAGCTTTGGTGGCAAGCACTGGCAATATAATTGTTGAACATTCCACAATGGCTGGAGGGGATCCACGTCAGAAGCAAGTTCCAAGCTTTTGACCTCCCCAATTCCCAACACTCGAGTCCACCAACCTTCAGCCAGGTCTCAGCCAGCTCAACCCGTTAGAACACTTGTGCAGAGTTCTCATCCCCAGGAGAACGATTTGGTGCTTTGCAATGGCGTGACGATGTACTTCCCCAGCGCCAACTACCTCCTGAAGACCATGCAGCTTTCGGCTGAGGCCACCCGTGACGGTGGAGTGGTGATCTTCGGAGACATCCAAAGCAGGTGCGCCCGAAACCCGTGCACGGACCTGGTGGATGGGAAGTGGGCAGATGTGGGGGGTGTATGGCAGATGTGGGGGGTGTTGAGATCGGATGGTGGTGACACAGCTCAAGAATCCAGGGGATCAGCCATCGACCCTTGCCAAGACCCTGGACGACCTATAGAATACGAACTTTCAAGGCAAAGTTCAAAAGATAAAAACACCTCCGCCATAGAATTTATAGAACCTTCTACCATCTGCCAGTTGGCACGTCTTCGCCGTTTTTCTTCCAAATAAGGCCACGGGCAGTTGGCTCCAACCCACGTGCCTTCGGCACCGCGGGCGGACGCTTTCGGTCCGGAGGCGCCACGTGCTGCCCTTCCGGTGTCACGTGGAGACCTACCAGGCTTTGCGGCGTCAGGATGCGACCGCCTTGGCGGTGCTCCATGCAGCCAAGCAGTCGGTCGCGCAGGAGGAGAGGGGTTCGAGCGGAAGGACGGGTGGTTGCCACGGGGCGGTGACAGGAACCCAATGAACGGTTTGAGAAGTCTTGGTCAAATAAACTTTTAATTGATCACCCTCCGGAATCTGAGGGACGGTTCCTGTATTTTTACATCTGTTGCATCACCAACTTGACGAGGTTTTACTTTTCGTGTTATCATAGCATGTCCCACTACTATATCACAACCACAAGAAGGGCAACACAGTATTGAGAGAACTTGACACATCCAAGCAGAAGTCGTTGGCCGCTGTCCCATCCTGGTCGCATGAATCCAGGAGCTCTCGTACTTCGACGACTCTCTCTTTCATCAGCTGGATCGTAGTGGGCGGAAGCTCTTCGGAAACCGGCTAGCCAAGGCGCCGGTAGCATGGGGACCTACCAGCGGTATCCAGCGGTTAGAGCAGAGATGAGTCGATGAGACAATTGATTATAGCAGCAGTTGGCCCCGTGAAGCTCGGAGGATGTGGCTGATTTAATGGTGACTCATGAACTGGGTTGAGATGAGTCAGCTTCTTTGCTCAAAGGCAAGATGCATCAAGATACGGTTTTCATTGTTTTCCTATTGAATTTCTTTCTTCTCTTCGGGTCTGAAGATCCCCTTGAGGAAATCAGATGCCCAAGGCCCCAAGTGTTCCAACGACATTCCGCAGTTCCCTTCAGAGACGGACTCCGTCACTGCTGTCAGCACATGAGTCACTGTCATGGTGAGAACTCCCAATTGTTCCATGACACCTTGGTGTTCACTCTCAGCAGTGATACCAACTGTTCCATGACACACCTTGGGATCCTTGAACCGTCGCATGGGGATTTGGGGATCACTCTCAGCAGTGCCCTTCAGGTGGAGCTGCGCGTGAAGCGCGGCTGGTGGCACTCAGAGTTCAACCGCTTCAGGCGCCGCGCAGCCAGCAGCTCCGAGCGTGGGGAAGCGGGAACCACGATCCAGTGACTGTTCTTCATGTGGGTGTGCATGGTAAGAGGGGACCCCCTGGTCCAATGGGTTTGGGGTCTCAAATGTTCATATACGATCATATGCATCTCCTCGTGTCATTGTCATGTGTGCACTATTTGGGGCACTTAGCGACAAGACCTCACGGTTGATTTGCCCCAAGGACAAGGAAAAGGTAATCTAGATTCGATGAGTCGTCTTTCTCTCGAATGACTGTGGTGTGCAATCCCGAGAAGATTTCAGGCTGCAAGGAACTCACATCACTTAAGCCTTGGACTGTGCCCCGGAATGAGTGAGAACAAATATAGAACGAGCCTTGACGAACTCCCCTTTGCTCGTTCGGGAGCGTTTGGAGATGACCCAGGAGCGTTTGCTTTCCGAAAGATTGATGGACCGAGCTCGCTGGGTCTTTTGCTTCCGGCAGGTACGATGTGTGGCTGGTCTTGGATGATGGCCAGCAGGCGGCGAAGCCGAGTCCGAAACTGCAGCAGGTGGACTACAAGGCCCTTTGTCACCAGGATGCATCAGACGGTACACGCAGCCGCGCTCCTAAGATATGAACATGTATGAACAGATGCGGCAGTCCCATAACCTGACTTCCACGATCCGAGGTAAAGAACTTCAGCTCCAAGAGCGTGGCGATGGTGCTACCGTGTCCTGGAATCGACTGGGCACAACTCCGGACTGGAGGAGTCATGTAGGCTCTGGATTCTCACTCTTCGTTTCCATATCAAGAGGTTTTACAAATCCAATTGGGTGGTTTTACTGATCAAGAGTCTACTAATTACATGTTCTTGCTGTTCTTGCTGTGCACCGAGGATTTGGTGGATGCACGCCTGGTCGAGAAGCTCGAGGGCTGGGTGTGCGGCCGGTTGTCTGGAGCCAGCCCTGAGGCTGTGGGAGGGAGGAGAGGAGAGGTGGTGCACTCCCTCGGAGCTGTGGGAGGATGGGAGAGGATAGGGAAGAAAAGAAACCCCCTGCAGAGAGGCGAATTGTGCACCTTTGGCATTCGGACGGCATTGGGAATGGTTTCTCTATATAGATTAGTTTCGGCTGGTTCCTCCTGTAGTGAGGGTCCACGCTTGTTTGCGCGATTCTTCTGGTTTCCAGTTCCTCATGTGCGCAAGAGCTTCAATGGCTGCTGGTGCCAGGGGGATTCAGAACATTTCACAGATTTTCACAACGGGGAACCGTCCGCCCCGTGTTCGCAGGTGGATGGCCTGGTGGTGACCTTGCCCAACGCCCGCACCTACCCGGCCACGCGGCTCCTGGAGTGGCTCGAGACGGCGGCGCAGAGCAACTTGGAGCTCCGCAGCTTGCCCAGCCTTTTGCACCCGGCCGATGCCAGCTGGGGAAGTGTGGAGGAGCGGAGCCTGACTCTTCTTGTGGCACATGAGGTCGGTGTATCACATGGCGCATCTGAAAAAAGGGGTGGGCAGCTGTTGTGGGTCCATCAGACCAGAGCAAAGGTCCGTGGACCAGATTCACCCAGACTGCTGACTGCTAAAGGAGAGTGCCAAGTATGGTGTGGAGCCCGAGATGCTGTTCAACATGAAGCTTCCAGATGGTTGGGTGCAACGCGTCATTTGGGACGAGGACAGCGTCAGTCGACGGAGCGAGTCGAAGGGGTGGTTTTGCATTTTGAGGCCTGCATCCATGCGATCCCATGCAGAAGGGCAGTCATGTTTCTGTAAATGTTTGAGCATGTTTAATATACAGTAGGCCTATAGAATAACTGTTCCAGGGGGTACGTCGATGGGTGGAATAGTTTTTCTGGAATAATTTTCTTGGATTCATTTCTTGACAGGGGGTTCATAGGGGGTGTCAACGATGTACCAGAATCATTTTTACATACCAAATGATTCCTGAGGTGGTGATTGCTGCGTTTATCAATGTCATGTTTGAATGCCAAGAAAAGGAGAGAAGAAGAGAGAAGATGCATTTGCTTTTATTTGCTTTTAAGTTTGATATCAGTTTGCAGTTTGTCAAGGGGGTGCATAGACTAGTCTGCAGATTTCAGGAAATTATTCTGACCGTGGATGACGCTCAGAATCATTATCAGCGACCCACCTCACACACACCCAGAATCATTAAAAGTGATTCCTGGGGGGTTGACGTGGGCCCCCTTTAATGCAACCCTATTGTTTAATTATGTTTAATTATGTATGTGTAGGATCTCTCACCTAACTTGTAAAGGGCTAACGCAAAATTCCTGAATTCTAAAGCAGCATCATAGCATGCGTACCTGTCAAGTGTGTTCTTGTTATTGTTCCTATCTGTGTAGTCATCCAAAGCTCTCGCCTTTCTTGAAAAGGACGTGGAGTTCCTCTCTCTCATATCTTTCAACAGTAAAGCCAGACTTATGGAGACTTGCGGTTCAATTCTTGATGGCCTTCAGATGTTCCAGGGATGTGTGACACGATAGGGATTTCAGGTGGCAATCCCAATCGAATGATTATGAATCCGTTTGGTTCCACCAACTGAACTATGGCAGTTGGAGCCATTGTGTATGGCCGAGAAAAGAACATATCGCCCCAGGGGCGCTTTTTCCCCAACAAAATTCAACAGCCAAACATCAAGACCGCCCTGCTTGCCATCCTTGTTTGGTTTGGAGGACCCTGGCTTCATTCGATTCGTGCTCCTGCGTGAGCACATGGCATCATCTCCATGGCTGAGTGCAGCCACTGACGCGGAAGAAGAAGAACTTCCCGAGGATGAAGGGACGGCAGTGGGGCTTCGTTTGGCCCTCTCCACTATGGGACCGTAGAAGGGAAAGAGGCTAAACGCAGAGTGTCCCTCCGCACTGAGTATCGTTGAAGTACTCAATCATTGGCTTGGCTTCAGCATGTCACGAGGCATGCAACACCAGCTGGATGATACGATCTCAGACAAGTTTGCTATTATTTTTTAGTTATAGTATATTTATACTTGATTTGAGTTGTTTCAGCACCAAGTCCGCCGAACCTGGCAAGGACTTGTCCTGCTTCAAGAACCAGCCCGACGCTTGGTCATGAGTTTGGCTTGAACAGATCCTATGGGCCATTCACCTTTTGTAATTACTTAGTGTTTTTGACACAGTGCATGTAGTAGTGTTCACTCATGAACTGTCCAGGAACACAAGCGTACAGAAGCAAGGGCACAGTCTTCGTAACAAACATAAACAAACATACAGTACACAGATTGAACATCCTTGAAGAACATTTGCAATGTTCCACGAGCTAGCTAGCTTTAGGTTGAATCCCGAATCCCTCCTTCAACTGCTACCCTCAACCCTCACGACCAGCACCACGTCACGTCGAAACTGCGATCCAGGAGGATGTGGACGTGGTGAGCTTCGATCCGATCAAGGCCTGCAACGACGTGATGAAAGCTTGGGCAGCTGGCACCTCCTTGCTCCCTGCCATGAGGCCGAAAGAGCTCCAGGTTTGAGCCGCTGAAGAGCCCCTGGATGTGGGATGATGTTGGGGTACAACAAAGAAGTTGAGGAGCAACATGCAGAGACCTAACTGGTAGTAGTCCTGGTAGTAGAGAAATCTGCTTTGGTGACCTAAGCATCTCGCTTTGACAGAAGGACTGATCGACTTTTCGATCACTTAATTTTCAGCGGCGTGTTTTTTCCACAGAACGTGTCCAGGCCAGCCGTGTACATCCCCTTGGAGTCCTTCCCCAAGAACGCGGCGGGCAAGATCGACCGTGCCGCCCTGCCGGATGCCTGCGACGCGCTGAGCGCCACACTGACCACAGCGGAGGCGGAGTATGAGCCACCCAGCACGGAGGACGAGAAGAAGATGGCACCTCGGAGAACGAGCAGCAGGGTGGCCAAGTGGCAGGCATCAAGGATCATCCATTTTATTCAGCGGATCCGATTTGCAATTTCTCAGGTTATATAAGTTTTGGAACAAATCTCCAAAGTCAATATGAAGTCTTGCGACATCATCAGACACTAGGAAAACATATATTTCAAATATCGGATGTGGGACTTGTAATTCGTTTTTGGGGCAAAGAAGTTCCCACACATCGGCGTCCGGCGTCCGGCGGTGCAAAATGACAAAGTTTCATAAAGTTTGCTTTGTTGAGCAAAGCCTGAGGTAGAGATTTGGGAGAAGGTCCTGAAAGTGCAGGCTGGCCCTTGGAAAGGAATATCATTTTATATTCATCATTGGTCAAAAGTCTTGTCGGACATGTCACTTTGAAGCTCAATTGCCGTGTCCGCGGAAGATCTGAGCCCGACACCCAGCCATTTTTGGTACTCACGGATCCATTCTCTTCCTTGCGAGCCGTGGATCGCAGTGCAGAAATGACTTGAGCCATTTGGATGATGACTTGGCAGGTGGGAGTGCAAACCCCTTTCGTGGCCTATGGTGGTCACTCCTTGACCGCAGTGCAGCTTTGCTCCTCGGTCTTTGCCGCTTTCCACCGCAGGCCGGAAGGGAGGTGGAAGGGGCGTGAAGGGGCTCGCACCCAGCTGAAGGCTTCTCCATGGTCTTTGCAAGGTTGGACCGTAGATATGGACCAAGAAGTCACAAGAACTCCTTGCTGAGAATCCAAGAGATTCATAAAACAATTCCATTCAATAGTCCAACAGTCCTGCGTTCGAAGAGTTGGCGTTTGCTTTGCAGACAGGGAAGTGAAACAGGACCAGGGATTTTCTTGATTGAACACGGCCAGTGGGAGGACCCCCTTTAAGATCCATATAAAGCAAGATATTGATTCTGACTCCTTCATTCTTTCGATTTGATTCTCGACACCCACATGACACCCACACCAGGCTCGGACACTCACCAGTCGTCCTTCCCGTCCTTGCCTCGCGCCGTCCGCGGAGGCCAGACTTGGTCTTCCTCATGTCGGAGGACTGCACCGTCCGTGCACTTTTGGCCAAGCTGGAGGCAGAGTCGACCACGGCGGCACACGACGGCTGCGTGGTGCGCCTCAGTGGCCCCGAGCAACGAGGGCTGCCAATGCTCATCTTCACCGCAGCAGGGACTTCAGCTGCCACATACTCCCAGGCCGGCCGTGCGCGGGTAGATGCGGATGGCAAGAGATTGTGTAGTTTAGTGGTGCGCGTGCAAGGATGCCTGAATCAAGTCTTAGTGATATCCCTTGGGATGATTGAAGAGGTTGAAATAGGATGAATATGGATGAATCTCATAGGAAGAGATGTTGTTGAAACATCCAAAGCTGCCAGCCGGATCTTTGACATTCGTCAGACTCTTGGCGCGGAATTCGCCCCCACTCGTCCGGGTTCAACGCGCCATACGCGCTGGTGGCCGGCCTAGGTGGCCGAGCGTGCGAGCCGTTTGCAACTCTATGCCGTGGAGCTGCCGGGCCGGGGCCAACGGGCAGAGGAGGCGGACCGGTCCATTTGGACGGAATCACCCCCGTCCGGTGGCGCGTCGCGGTATAGTTGGATCTGTTCAAATTGGAGACGCCAGTGGTAGTGGTCATGTAGTTGGCCATGATGTTTTCATGGCCATATTTGATCCACACGTCATGCGTCAATGTACGCCTCATGCCATGCATGATCATACTGCATCCTGTACCACGAGCCCGAGCATTGCGTTCAACTAAGCATTGCGATCATCCGCGGCAAAAGTGCAGCCTGCAAGAATTGAGAGCATTAGCGTACCAGTCCAGACAACTCACATGAAATTGGAGTCCTTGCCTTTACAAACGTTGCCTCCCACAAGTGGCTCATGTCATAGGTTCCGCCAACCGACTGAAAGGAGGAGTATTTGACCGTTCTTGACCGTAAGTCAGGATTCCGGTTCGGGCGGCAGTAATCCTGGTGGGTAGTTTGGTGTCAAGTTGCTAAGGGAGGTCCACAGGTTCTGAGTCACAGTGGGTAGTCTTTAAACCTCATATGATTACATTCAAAGGTCCAGCTCACTTTTGAAAGGCCCACTCACATACACCATGCTATCATCAAATAGTGAATCATCCGTCCAATTGTCCAGTGTGTCATTGGATCATCTAAGATGAAACATGTTGTGAAATCATGCAGCTTAGACTTAGACATCCTATTCAGCCATATACTCTCCCTGAAACAGTCATGGAAGTGGAGTTCACGCCCTATAAGAGTAGAGAAGACTGCAGTCTTCCAAGCAGACATGTTCCACGTAACCATGGGTTGTTTCAGCCACAAAGTCTCGCCGTCTACACCTCACTGAGTCCGAAATCCAGGCGCCCATTCCGCACTTTGAAAAGCTCTTCGAGAATCTCAAGGCCGACGTCATGCGCTGGGCCAGGCGTGCACAGCGGAGCTATGCGGAGCTGCCCCCACCGACACCGTGCGACCACCGTGTAATGCGAATCATAGCAAACCGTGGCAAAGACTCATCACAGGCAAAAGCTGCATAAATGGGCGAGATGCAGCGAGTATGCCACTAATGTGCTAATGATGAGAATGTGTAAGCACACATCGTTGCAACTCATTTTGTAAAGTTTGGTTGATGGATTTGGCGTTGGCGTTTAGACCAACACAACGGATGCACCTCCATACGCGATTCCATGCAATTCCATGATTTGCCTTTGCCGGCGCCAAAAAGCGGTCCTGTCATGCGATGGCTTCAGAATGCGGCACACATCCGCACACAACCACTCCAGCTCCGCACCAAAACCTGTATCCGACCACACCGACACCGCAGGAAGCAGAAGCGCTTCTTCGCCTGGGGCGACTCCTTGGGCGCCATCTTGGCATATGAGTTCGCACGGCTTTGGCAGCGGGATCCCGAGGCCGGGAAAGCGAAAGGAACCGTTGAAAGGAACCAACCGTCTTTGGATGAAAAGGGACGAAGGGGTGACGAAGGGTCGGGTGAGAGAGTGACACAGAGCAACTTGCCCTTCGTCAAGGATGGTGGGATCGGGTGTGACCGGGACCAAAGACAACTTGCGATTCACCACATCTCGAGCAAACAAAATCCTTCCAACCTTCCAGACATTGACCGGGCTAGACCAACAATGACAAACAGCTAGGCTTAGAATTAGAACACCCTAACATCATCTTGGAAGGGCCCAAGGAACCAGCATGGGTGTCTCTTGGCCATGGGTATTCTGTTCTGGGTTGGGTATATATAGAGACCGGAGCCAGCCAGAAGATGTTCAGCTTTGAGCCGTTGAGACTAGTAATCCACTGACTTGAGGTGTTTAGAGGTGCTGCAAGTGCCATAAATGTGGTGCTTGATCCAGACGAGTCAAAAAAGAAGAGGCGAAGAGTCGAAGAGTTCTTTCAAAAGCGACGCCCCTTAGGGAAACACCTGATCATCCACTGCACAGTCGTGACGACAGCGAGCGCAAACGGGCGCAAAACACGGACACATGTATCGTTGTTGCCCTGGTGAGGCTCGTGATTTTTTGGTCTGAGTCTAAGCGGATGCATGCCGGCAAGAGGTAGACAATCCTCCACCCTCTTCCCAACTTTGATCTCAAAGGAGAAGCAACACAAAACACGTTTCGGACAAACCGGCTGTGTGCTAGGTTGGCAGAACGCCTTATATGACATGAGCACCCACTTTTGTTTAGGCTTTACTAAAGTAGTCTACGGCATGCTCTATTTGCTTGTCTATCATCAGCATTCGCTTGTGAACGAGATAGGGCACCCACATAAACGAGATACTTGTGCTTGATGACACAAACATCGTTTGAACGAGATAGTGTGATCTGCTACTAAAGTAGTCTGAACGAGATACTGTGACCTGACCTCCTACTTAAACGAGATAGGGCCCCCACATAATCGATAGATAGTGTATTTGAGTTTAGTACCAAATAAATGCCGCCGCACACATGTATAAGTATAATGTATTATAATGTATTTTGCCGTGATCCACAATTGGATTGTTTATTTACTTCATTCATTGATTCAAAACTCCTTGTTCTATGGCATTGCCTCCGGGCCCCTCCTTTCTGACACACGCCCCAGGCCAAGCTGCTGGGGCTCTTTTGCAGCGGCAACGCAGGGCCTCCAGAAGCCTCCTGTGAGCGAGGGATGGGCGAAGCGGTGATGGACCATCTGAACCTGCAGGCGGTCCGGGCGGCACCGCACTGGTGCCTGGGACGGGACTGGGTGGCCTGCCCTATCCTTCAAGTAGTTATTCGATGTTGTTCGTTCAAGTAGCGATGGGGTTGTGGACCGTTCTGGAATGAAAAGACCCATGTTTCAAGCAGTCACTGGTGAATTGCCAATAGATCACCACACTGCACAATCTCGTCCTCTCGTCCAGTTGGGGAGACTCAGTCGCAGCGAGGACTGGACCATTCCAGTTTCGACCCTCCGAGGACCCCGGATGATATCGGATGATCGTAGGCGGAGTGCTGCGCAGATATGAGCACGGAGGATTGGAAGAAGTTCCTTGTGGCGTCGGCAGGCAGCTCAGGCGCGGCAGGGGCACGGGGCACTTTGGGTGGAACAGTGCATGGATGGGGAGTGAATGGTCGCACTTTCCGGCCAGTGGATGGTCGCACTTGCAATGTTTTAAGCTGGTGGAAACTTCTACCCATTTAGAGAGCTGAAACTAGGCTGCCAGTGGTCCTGAACAAGTGCAACTGCAGTTCCATGGGTTGTCCTGACAAAGAAAACACTTGGAACAACACCGGCAGCGGCATTGGCAGCTAACAACACTGGCCTTGGCAGCTCCTGGGTTTGATTTTAATTCAGCTCACGGGCTGCGGCCATGTTCGAAGTTCTTCTGGTCATAGCCGCAGCCCGCCATGGCCTTTGTACCGGGTGATGGCGTGACCCAAACGTCAACATTGGAGCCTGCCAACTGTCCGAGACTTGAACCTTAGATTCTTGGAGTTGCCTATTCTTGCTGAGCAAGACATGTGGGCCTATTCTTCTGAACATGGGTGGCTGAAGATGGCACCGCCGCGCAAGGTTCCAGGTATTCTACAAGACCAAACAGCTAGGGGAGGTACCCAGTAGAAATGAAATGAAATGAATACTGCACCAGCGTTCAATTTACAGGTTTGCAAAGGAAAGAATGACTTTTGGATATGAGTCACATATGCCCAGCACTGGCTAGGACTGCAAAGGCGACCGTTGCCCCCAATGCATGGCGCATCATGGCGCCACGTTCCCCATCGATGTACATCGATGTAATTAATCCTCATGACACTAAGTCACTAAACGCGCGGTCTCGATCTTCGGCACATGTTGTGTATTTTTTGGTGCACATGGGGAATAAACGGTTGATTCAAAGTACAACAGACTTCCGCAAAGCGTTTCCATTGGCCCATGGTGTTGTAACATCAAACGGCCGACAGACAATTCCGTCTTCCGACCTGAGGCCCAGAACTCCAGGAACTGCTCGCTCGACCCAAACTGGTGGATAGCCGCATGACCCGTGGTCGCCCGTGGTGGAGAGCGGTTTCATTGGATCCACCCACGATCGGGTGGGGGGGGCTGAAGCAACCATGGCTAGACCAAAAGCAGGAGGAAGGAGTATGCGTGTTCAACCGGAAGTAGATTTTGGGACGTTTTTTTGAGGCAGCAATGGCACCGCCCTCCAAGAACCATGCCTTCATTGTTTTGGCCCAAATCCTATTTTTTGCGTTCTTTGCCAATCGACCGTGCTCATTTGCTCATCCCCACAAACCTGTTGGAATGTGGCACATTGACACGTTGAGGTTTTCGGCTCTTATTTGCCAGAAGAGCGGAGCCATTTTCAGGCTTCCAACTGAGTACTGCACATGCTCAGCAGATGTCAAAATGCAGTTTGCCACAAGCGCCTTGATGGGAGGTATGTTGATCCCTGCGGCATTACCCATGAAGAGATGGACTTGGTTGTCGTCACCCTGCACCTCTCTACCGCCGTCCTGTGTTTTTTCTCCTTTCCCTCTCCCGGTGGGGGCTCCTAGGCATCATCGGCCCCTTGCGCGCCGATTGCATGGCCTATGAATCCTATCGCTTGGACCGCGTGGACCTCATCCACTCGCCGATCATCACCCTACGAGGCTGGTGAGTGGAGCTTTTTGTCCAGAGGAGTGTTTTGTTCAACCATGCTCCAACCTGTTTTTTACAGCAACGCAGTTGTTCATGCAGTGCCTGTCAGTCCTCGGTTTGGCCTCCGCCTGCAACTCCTCCCAGGTGGACATGACGTGGTGACCTCCAAGGAGACCATCCGCTCCTGGCAGCAGGTCAGCGGCAGCCGCTACGAGCACAAAGACTTCGGCCACTTCGGGCACCTCCTGGCGAGGCGAGTTCGCCGCCACACACCGGGGCGGGCCATGGCCGGAGCCCGGTGTGGAACTGGCGGTCAAGAACCAAGGAATCAACACACGAAACATCATTAGATTCTTTCGAATGTTTAAAAGTAAGCTTCGCTATGTCATGGCATGCGTTTGGTTTCGATATGTTTCGATCTTCAGCACTAGTCTATGATGCAATGCTCCGTCAGGGAGTGCCCCAACTTGCTGGCGGAACTCTTCGAAGAGTATTCTCTCCCAGACTTCACCCATGAGCTCAGGTGGGGCCGGTGCCGTTGTTGTGTGCTGCTTTGTGGCATACGACCATGCTCACCAACAGTTAGCGGGATCCACATATGTCATAGTCACACATGTCATACTGGTAGTATTAGATAACTCAAATATTGTACACCAGCAAGTGCTCTCCCAACTTGTGTCAGGGCATGAGACTGTTGCCTTTTACTGTGAGGATCCTTCACATGCTTCAATGACGCCCCAGAACAGCATTGAACTTACTAGACTAGGCACCTTGGAACCACTTTCAGGGGCTGAGAGAATCGGCGCCAAGTAGGCCAGCCAGGCCAGGCCAGTGGCCTTTCCAGCAGCGTTCGGGCCCGTTTGGGCCCCGTGCCCAGGCACTTCGAGACCTTCCGGGCCGCCTACCGCCTCATGCGCAGTGGATCGACCACAAAGCGGGCGCCCAGTGCTCGACGGATCCGCGGGGCATCGCAGAAGGAGATCCGGAAGAGCCACTTGGGGCAGAGGTTCCGGTGTGAGTCCGCGAGGAAAATCTCCTTGCTGCCCGGACATTGATGTTGTTCTTATCATGTAAATTTGTATACATTCAGGGACGGCCAGTTCCCGAGCGAATATGGAAGTTCAAATAAGTCATGAGAGCACCCGGTTCCGTCTCATCGAACATTTGGAGGTGGTTCGTTTTCAGCGTCAGGTCAGGTCCACTGTTTGAACGTCGGGCACATTGCAAAGGCTTGCTTGCATGCCTGTTGGAAAATCCCAAGTCATTGGATGTCATTTGCTGGCTCCTTCACTTGCTTGCCTGCATGCCTGACGTTGGCAAATCCTAAGTCATTGGTTGCATCCGAGTTGAATCCATCATTTGCTTCTTAAGATCTTTGCATGCCTGTTACTGCCTGTTGGCAAAGTTATTTTCTTTGAACCTGGCAGCAAGTCCCAAGTCATGTGCCTTAATCTATGCCCAAGCTATGCTCCACGACTCCCATCTCACTAGAACCCAATAAATGCAAAAATTATATATACAATGAGTGCATGTGTATATTAATATATAACTTAGTAATAGGACATAGGAGCATATAGTAAATTAAGTAATAAACTAATTTACTATAATATGTATGGATGTACGTACACAGAGCGACAAAGAGTGCGTAACATATACCTACCTACAACCCAGGTGGCCTTTGCTTACTTACATAGGAAAAGACACTGGTTTGGGTGGTTGGTGGTACACCACGCATGATGAAGGGTCCACCAATTGAACATAGGAAGTTTCACCTCCGTTTGCTTCAAAGGTGTCCTGCACATTCCTTGAACTTGCCAGCCTACTATAGATCCAACCACTGTAACACTTGTGTGGGATTGTGTGGCTTCCTTTGTCGCGCAATTAACTCCAAGCCCTTCTTTGTTCATGTTAGAGTTTGCAGTGCCAACAACCAGACCCAAGAGTCACCATTGGGTCGGAGCTTCTCCCATCGATTTGGTGCAGCTCTAAGGCATGCGCGTTTGCAGCCCCACTCTCGGGGCGGCTCATGTGCCCAAGGCAGGGGTAAACGAACTCGAGCCAAAGCAGCCAAGAGATGAACATGTTGCGCTCACAATGTGGTTTTCCTTCCCCACTTGGACAACGGCACGCTTCGACTTGCCATTTACATAGTGTTTTTTTGGGCCTGATGGATGTTGGCCATGACACACGTGGCTGGTGAGTGCACGGCGGTTTGTCCTTCCAGCACTTGATCTGACGCCTGGCACGACGAAGGACTTCGACTTGGGCTGCATGGAGGTGGACCTGGTGGGTTTGGATGCCATCATGCCACCCACCAAGGACCAGCGGGCCCGATTTTTGCGTTACTGTACTTGGGAAATGGGTGGGTGCAGGTGTGCTTGGATCATTTTGGATCATGGGACTTGGCGCCAGTCGCTTAATTGTGTCTATGGCAAAGCGACATAGGCAGCGGGGAGAATTCAGATTGCATTGAGTTATTATGAGTTATTTGTAGAACTGATTTCTCCAACCTGGCACCCGCTCTAAATCGGTGGCGCCCGTGGTCCTGCTGAGGGTGAATGTGCTGGTCCACCGCTGAGTTCTCGACTTCACACGTCGACTTGCGGTGCTCAGGAGGTGAAGCTGATGCGCGTGGGCAACCTGACCTGGCGGAAAGGCGCATCTACAGGCGGACGAGATGAGGGGGGAAGGTGTTTTTGGGAGGCACATCCGGACGCAGTAGACGGATGTAGACGGTGCTAGGCCATGAGCAAGCGATTTTGAAATGCTTCAGGTTCAACTGGCTGCATGTGGGGAGTTGGACATGTGAGCAGGATAATGTTGGATCCTGATTAGTAAATAGGGGTCCCCCCTACCTCTAACAAACAGGGGATCCTCTATAATAAACTATCACCAAAACAAATCTGGATTCCTGTGAGAATTCCTTTTTGTAATTGATTGTAGTATTAATGTTCCTTTCATAGATTGTATTCAGCTTCCTTTCTCAGGTGCTAATGAATCATAATCATTGGCCTCAGGAGCTAAGTAGAGTAAGATTCCATGAGCAGTTTTTTTCCAGTGGAAAAAACTTTTCACAATTGAGAACCCAAAAACATATCTATTATTGAGGATCAGGTGCCTTCCTGGTCTACTACCTTGAACATTTGTTTAGGAGCAATGTTTTATACAGGGTTTAATTAGGAATTGATGGTTTTGGTCAGCTGTCAGTTTTGAAGAAACCTAGAGAAAGCTATATCAGCTAATGAATCATAATCATTGGCCTCAGGAGCCAAGCAAAGGAAGATTCCATGAGCAGTTTTTTTCCAGTGGAAGAAACTTTTCACAATTGAGAACCCAAAAATAAATCTATTATTGAGGATCAGGTGCCTTCCTGGTCTACTGCCTTGAAAATTTGTTTAGGAGCAATGTTTTATAAATGGTTCTATTAGGAATTGGTGGTTTTGGTCAGCAGGCACAAGGAAGCAGCTCAGGCCAAGAAGCAGGCCTTCCTCAGCCAAGGGCTAGGGTTGTAATTAGTTAGTTAACATCTTGTTGGTGGTCTGTTTGTTTGTGTTTTGCTTTGCTGCTGGCTGCTTGCCTGGGAGGGAGGGGGGAGTGCAGGTGGACAGGGTTCAGAAGGAATTCAATCCCTTATTAATTAGGTTCCCAATATAAACAATTTAGGGTCCCAAAAAAAAGTACTGTAGCATTATTGAGGACCCATTTACTAATCAGCATCCAACATTATGCATGTTTTTCTTGATGCTTTGTGTTAAATTGATAACAGCACAAATGGATACAAATCGTCAAAACATCACTTCTAGCACCAGTCATCACCAGGCAGTCAGGGAGACGCGTGGTACCGAGGTTGCTGTTTTTGTCGTCCAGCTTGCATTCAGATGTGAGGATTCATTCTCCAGAATTTGTGAATGGGTTTTTGCTGCTTTTGATGTTGATTAATGATTAGTGGTTGTATCCTGGTGTACCTGCAGTCAGTTGCCTTGAAACATCCTTGAACATTGGGCTGCGACATGCCCCTCCGAGGCAATGCAACTCGCTTGCCCTGAGCATTTTCAATTGCTCCCAGTTAGGCGCCCGGCCATTGTATAGCGGGCGCTGCACATGGGGTGCAGAGTTTTGCAGTTTGATCGACTCGAACCGGTGTTGGCTCATCTCAAACTGAGGCCGAGGACACGCAGGTGTTAACAGCTCAGGATCACAACTTTCTTGCATTGATATCACATTGACACGCGAAGCAGTCTAGAATCCAAGATGACGAAGCTTTGGGATTCCTTGACCCAAGCTTCGAAGTTGACACCTGCAGGGGCTCATCGGCCTGAACAATCCCGAAAAAAACCCTGGCGACAAGGGTATCCCATGGTATCCCCATACTTCTCAATCATTCTCCTCAAATGTACCTGAGTTTCACCGTTAAGTTCTGAAGCTGAATGAAGTTGACTCATCTAAGAAGGGGGATACTTGGCCATGTACAGACCCCGGCCAGCCCGTGAGAGAACAAACATCTCCCGGCTGAGTTGTTGAGGGATCCATGCCGTGCCATAGCCGCTGATCGCATTTGCGCGGCATCAATCTCAATCCTGAAAGCGCAAACCACCGCTTTGGGTGCCATGCCATGGAGAAGTCAGGGAAGGAGAGGCTTTGGTGGTGAAACGTCTCACAAATCATTTCTCAACACATACCAGGACCAAGAAGGTGGGCAAATGCCATCCGGGATGCCCGGGCAAAAGAGATCTTTTTTTTTGGCCGAATCATGACGAACACCCAATGATCCGGGCAACTGTTCGCGGAACAAACCCGAGTGCCTGCGATTCGGAATGCTCCAAACAGCCCTGCACATGAGTTTCCCCTACCACGGCCCCAAAGTTCCTGGATGATATCAACGATACAGCAACACCCACGAATGGTTGATCGTTCAGACTCACAAAAGGAGTGGATCGCGATCACTGTTGAGACTCCCGTTCTGTGAGATTGTTTGAGCGTAGAGATTTTCTGTTAGAGTGCTCTTCACTGAAACAGCAATGTAATGTACATGGTGCCCTTCCAGGGTTGCACTTTCAATCATGTTTGTGCAGTATTTATTTATATTGATTATACTTACGCGACCCTTCTGAAGAATTGACCGTGACCTCAGTGGTTTACCCGTTGGCGAAACATGACCCGTTGAGCTTGTTGGATGTTCTACTTTGCAGACATGGATGTTCTTAACGCGCAGCACTCATTGGGATGTCAATTCTTAACCTCCAAAACACGAGCCGCTCGCGCACCACGAGCTCACCACGGAGGTCATCGGGCGAAAACGGGTGCAGGTGGAAGAGGTCCCAGATTGAAGCAGTATCAATTACATGATATTGCATGTCATGAGTGAGTTCCTTCCTGGCTGGCATGCCATAAATGTCTACAATTCCATACTCTTTGCTCTTGAACTTCTGAGGTGAGAGCAGTTGTGCGTGCCAGAGAGCTCCTGCTGACGAAGACACCCCAAAACGTGTTGGAAAGTAAGAAGGGTGAGTTATAAGATGTTCTATCAAGGCAACCACCCATTTTAGAACAGTTTGAAGAATGCCGGCTATGTGTGGGCCGCCGTGCATGGGCTGGGTTTGCTCCCTAGGCAATCGTGTTGCCATGCTGTTGTTTGTGACTGTTGGGTGTTGCCATGCATGTGAATGTCGCACGTACCAGCTGCAACATGCGGAGTCATAGAAGTTATAGAAAGTCCGCTCAATTGTGTGCGGAAAAGCCACCTCCTTGTTTGTTTCTTTCAGTACTCCTTGATGCTTTGTTTTTGTTATTCTTCTTGTGGTTCGTGGCAGCGGCAGTGATTGGTTCGTATCCCACCTGCCGGGTGAGAAACAACCATTGGGGTAAGGACTAGGGGTGATACGGACTAGGGGTGATGTAGTACAACGCATACCGTCGTTTACGGCGGCCGTACGGTCATAAAGGCATCCGTACAAGACAACTCGGAGGATATGGACTCCAAGTTGATCACGGCAGATCCTCTGACATTATTCCAAGACATGCTGCATAGTGCCGTAGCACTTCCTTCGCATGAATGCCGCATGACCACCAGACACAGCATCTCACAAGTGACTCACTATTGCGATGCTAAATCCACCACTGATGCAATCGACTGCTCAGCACCTGGGAAGGCAGGCGCGGTCTCCACGCATGGACCATGGCCACCACCGTAACGGTGCAATGCACTTGATCGTTGGCATGGGTCATTTCGCGTGGAGCTGGAGTGCGTGCCGAAATCCTTCTAATCCTTAGCTCAGACCTCCTAGACCACACGGCGAGAAAAAGAACAGGCGCAACATGGGAATGGCAGGCGGCTGGCAAGCGTGTTCGCAGGGATGTTTGTCAGCCTGTTACACTCCGGAAAAGCCACCTACCCATTTCCACGGTGCTGTTTCACTGGGGAAGACCAACCACGGTCCGGGAATTAGGTCAATTTGGACCAGTGTGTTGGAGCAAGGAATTCCCAAACGCCCCTGGCAGAAAATCCCAACGCCTTGCCAAAAGTCGGCACCATATGTAATAAACATGTGGCGTTGGGCCCCTTCTTGCTGACCACCCTTCTTGCTTGTTCCAGGGGTGTCACTGTTTGGTCTACAGTCATCCTTCATGGGATGCAAAGTATGGACACTCGTTTATATATATATATTTATTCACACCATTGGCAGAGTTTCTCGCCTTTTTTTCTGAGGCGGTGGCCAAAGCAGCGAAGATCAATCCACAGCTGTTCAGGCAGTACAGGCGCCTTTTTGCATGAATAACATCAAACGTCCGGCAGATGGTCTCAGTTCAGGTCCCGACTCGACTCAGAACCCTTCGTTGAGTCGTCTCCAGCCGTGAGAACCATTGAGAACCTCCATGGGAACCAACGGAACACCTCGGTGCTTGGAAACGCCGTGGTTTCCACGAGGCATGAGCTGCTGTGGATTTCGGACATGTTCAATGCCCACGACGAGGCTTCGTTCCCGCGGATGGCACGACCCGCTGAGGTTGGATCCCGGTGGCAAGGAGATCTTAGAGGTTTGTAGGGCTTGTGGTGTTGGCGTGCGTGCCATTTCCGGATCTAGTGAGGGAAAGGAGGCTCCATATATTGGCGCCCCACGCTTATTAGCCGTGTTTGCCAGGGAATTGCATGGTGACATGTATTATATATATATATATATAAAATATTGCATCATTATATACTGTACTCGACTCGTAGTTGTTTGATTTGTTTGGCACCTGCAGAACAGAGCCAGCTTCCCAGACACGACTAGGCCACTAGGCTCTATAAACATTTTTGTGGACCCGCTCAAGACATGGCTCGCGCATTGAACTGAACATGCAGGGCATTGTTTTACAAACCAGTCTTACCATATTTTATGGTGAGGAAACGTGAGGAAGTTAAGCTTCTACTGGCTGGGTGCGATCCCGCCCCAAAAAAATCAGGAAGCACATCGGACATAAATAATTAGCATCAACAATAGGAAAACAATACCACAAAAGTAGGAACAACAAAAGGAACTGCAAGCTGAGTCCTAGCAATGGACAGGGAATCAGGGCTTTGGTGGGGGGCGTCAAGATTCAGAGGGTTCAGACCTGAGAGGTAAGTCTAGGCCGGTATCGACCCCGAAAGCGCACCCCGCCTGGGTTTGGGCCCGGGTCCCACAAAAAGCAGCCAATGTTCTGAAAATTGCACATGCTGCCGACACTTCGAACAACTGTTTATTAAAACATATATATAGGGAATATATAGGCCGCCCATCCCCTCCCCACACAACCCCAACGTCCACCCCTCCCTATTACACTATGATCCGTATTGCGCTATGCTTGCTTTTATTGTTCCTTTTGCTTGTGTTTTTTTTTGTGTGTGTGTGTCCTTTTGTTTGTCCTATGTTGTTCCTATTGTTTCCTGATGTTGCAATTTCCAACGCCAAGTGTTTTTCAGCTAAGTACAGTTTTTGCCTCCCGCACATTCGTCACACATACCAAAATATCTATTGTGGCTTTCGGAGTGTTATGATCGACTTGTTTTCAGTTCTGTTAAGCAATTCATGATTCTTGGGGCTTCTCTCGACCGCATAGGAGCATGCTGGCTTTCTGGGGCAGTTTGAAGTCCGCCGCCTCATGAAGTACATGGGCCGCTGGTCCTCATGTGACGGGACGTTGGGCGGCTCATACATAAAGAACAGTTGCAACAGCTAATGGGTTGGAGGCCATCGCTATTAGGCCCCTTTTGACCTGACCAACAGCGGTGACCGGCGACCCGTGGTGTTTTTCCAGCACTCCTTCCACCCGTGCGGTGCGGAGTGTGGCGAGGACGACGCGTGCGGGTGTTTCGTTCGACCGGAATCCCGAAGGATCGGATCCAAAGACCACGCGAAGCACCATCTCCCTCTCCCAATGGGATTTGTTTCATCGATAGGACGGTGGTGACGTAGTTCCTGTGCGCATGTCATAGGGTTTTTGCTGGGCACCTTTTGGGGATCGGTGGTTGCGCTCTGGTGAGTGGGAGTCTTGGGCGTCAGGCAACCCACAAGGTGCAAACACCAGAGAGCGTGGACCCTATGGGTCCTAGTGGGCTCCACTTCCAACATATTTGTCCACATGTTTCTTTAGTGACCTGCAAAACCGTCAAAGACTGGGAATGGCAGAAACGAACAAGAACAAACAACAACACCAAACAAGGATCAAAACAAATTCAGAACAAGAAAACAACACATGTTTATCAGGGTCTAGGGGCTGTTCTGGTCTTTGATAGCACACATCTTGTTTGTTTTCAGGGGTTCATGTTTTGAGCTGTGAGTTCTCCTTGCTTTAGCAAAAATGTATTACAATCAGGAGTTGGGATTGTGCATTGAATTTGGTCCTGTAAGAGTTGATTCTGTTCGTCGGGGGGGGTGGGGGCCCCCCCGGGATCAAATCTCCCCTGCGCCGGTTCACGCCGTCATGGACTTTTACCAGGGTTGCTTGTGATTGCCTGCTACCTTTCGTTCACCCCCTCCTCTCTCAAGTCTCAGAATCGCCTCATCGCCAGCTCAATCAACTTAAACAAGCACGCAACACGCACATACAGAGGATGGGATGGGTGTTAAGCAATAAAGGATTGGCATGTTGTGGCAGGTCATGACCTCCTAAATCCATGGCCTACATAGGCCTTGCAGTTGTCCACCGGAGATTACCGATCACAAAGGCCTGGAGCCCTACTCTCGCCACACCGCACCAGAGTTGCATGGCCAAGACTTTGCAGATGGTGTGGGCCGGAAATGAGGTGAAATGAGGGCTCCTGCTCAGAGTTTTTGTGTTTGGAGCAGCTGTTAGAGCTTTGACGTTCAGTTCAGATTCCCTGAAAGGACATCAACATACCTCGATCGTATCCACACTTGATTGATTTACACTGGTTGCCCAGGTTGCTTGCACAAATGCCGAGATCTATATATACTCCTTTCTCTTGCTTGCGTTTTCATTCCAACAAGATACGATTGGACAAGTTCGAGTGCTCATTGTGTTTTGCATTTGGCATTTGCAACGTGAGCTCAACTTAAGCCATTTTGGAGCTCATTGTCTCGATCAGTCCCAAATAACATATATATAACTATATATACTTACATATATATATATATTGCGAGTCACTCGAGCCCCAGTGCCTTGTCTTGTTTGATTCTTTCTTCTATAGATTCTATAGAGATACAAGTCGCAGGTGGTCACTCGGTTTTCTCTACTTAGGATGCACCCTTCTTCCGCACCGGAAAAGAGAGGGCGTACCGGCATACCCGTCTTTCGCGTCGCTGGGGCCGTGGTGAAACACGCCGGAACCCGTCTTTTGCGCGGCGGGTTCCCGGAGGATTGACCGTTTGATCAGAGACGTGGACGAGAACCATGACGACGAGATTGAACTCAACGAGTTCCTGAACTTGCTGAGCCATGCCCGTCGTTTCCAGCCGCCCGGACTTGCACCATTTCCCTTTTGAGGAGTGGAGTGGACGCAAGGTGTGGAGTAACATTTCATGTTCTGAAGCGCCCAACACGCCGGCGGGAAGTGTGAGACATGGGTTTTTGTGTTGGTGGTTGGGGATCACCATTGCCCAATTGGCAGAAATACAGTACATCGCTAGTAACAAGTGCATCACCTGTGAAGTCCGCTTGGTACTTCTCGGTGATCTCAAAGGCCCAGGCCCAACCGGACATCGCGCGAAGACACCGAGGATGAAGTGGCGAAAGGTGCGGTTGCAGAGATCCTTCTTGAGGCTGGATTTGGACCCGTTGCTTGGTGTGATTAGGCCTTTTTTGGGGAGTGGGATGGATGAGAGGGTCTGACCTTGTGGCCCCAGGAACACCCTTGAGGCTTGAGGTGATCAAACCATTGCAGCAGCAATATAAAACATGTCATATACATATACATATATGTGTATCTATATATACACATAAAATAATACAGTTCAGAGCTGCTTGCCCTAGTCTGAGGCCACATCAGCGCGTGTTTTCATCGGGTTTCCCGGGGTTGGGAAGTGGGCAGTTTGGAGCAAGGGCATTTACACCTCCAACGTACACATCAACATGTTCATGAATCTCCTGCAACATCCATGAATCAGCCTCACTATACGCGAGCAGCTGGGCATCAATCAATTTGGAGCTTCGATGTTTGATGTCCGATGCTCATAAGAGTGAGAGGGTACCTTTTCAGTTGGTTGAACTGTGAACATGAACTGCTGCTTTTTGGCCTCGTAAATCAAACCCCCCAAAACTAGACTTGGATTAGACTGAGTAATCCTCCCAGAGCTTCGATGGGTATGTTATGTACTGCCTAGCGTGCCCTTGTCTCACAAGTCTCCTGTGCACTTCATTACAGAAATACAGATACAGATACCCACATGTTTCATCCCTCGAGCTTCTCCCGGCACCGCCAGCACCGTTCAGCCCGCGTTTTGGCCATGTTTTGGCCGTTCACTCGCCACAAAAGCATTCAGGAATGGTTGCTTGGCCTTCGACCAAATCGTTGCAGCCCTGGCACAGGACGATTTCCTCACTTGGGGTGCTGATCGGATGATGGGAGAGCATGGGAGAGCTACTCAACCTGTCCCTTTCCTCGTTGATCTTACCTTCGGTGGCATGAACAAATGTTGAAGCTCGCCATGTGAAAATTCAATCCGAGCTTTGATTCACAGTGTCCAGGTTATTTCGGGCTTATTCACAAGAGGGAACGGAGAATCATGGAGAATCCCTACTTGATTAATGTATACAAATATACGTTATACCTCATCTCGCAGATTTGGTGTTGTGAATCGGTGAACCTGGTAGATTTGTGCACTTGCGCCCTTCGGTGTTGTTGTTGTTGTTGTTGTTGTTGTTGATCCATTGGAATGTTGAAATTGCTCGTTTGTTTCACCGTGTTTTCCACAGCAACAGTTTGGCAATCATATTGTATGCAAGATGACTTGTGGCCGCACGTCGCATTGCCGCCCTGTTGTAAAACGACCAGCGAGAACGTGTATGGCACTTAGTCCCATTCGTTCGCCAGTTCCGCAGTGTGCGAAGCGAGTGTGACAACGGCACCGTCCATGTCGGTCCATGTCCATCGAGTGGTTCACGTTTTCGTGGCACTCGCGGTCGGCGACTCGACTCCCACAGAAGCCTCGTTCTACAGACCTTTGTCCGAACTGCCCATCCATGCCCTATATGCCTATATATACAGATTGTGCCTCTGGTACTATAGTAAATGTCTGATCAGCGGGGCGAACAACGTGGCCATTTTGGGTCAAGCCCCGCAGTCGAACAGGCCTCCGCTGATTTGTTTTCAGCGGGGGAAAAATGTCTGTTCCGGCGTGGGCACAGGAGCGGCTCCCCGCCGGTAGGCCTTTGACCGTGTTCGGTCCCCCGGGAGGCCGTGGTCGCAGCGGCAGCCAGGGGAGAGGACCCAGTGCAAAACGGGTCGATACATCCCCTCGAAGGGACCGCGCCAAGCTAGGAAGGACAAGCGGTCTGTTCGCGGCTGGCGCATGGTCCGCGAGGGAGGAGATCGCACGCATGATCGAAAATGGAGTCCCTTCGAATGAAATCCTGGAAGCCATCCGGAGTGGTTCAGAAGGTGACCAGCCCCTGGAGATCCAGGGAGAATCGGAAGAGGCAGATGAGCCAGTGGCGAAGTCTCTGTCGGAGGAGAGGCCACCACGGAGTTCCGGGGTGGTACCTCCTAGCTGGACCACCGAGAAGAAGGCGGAGAAGCCTGCCAAGGTACCCGCTCTGAGGCTTAGAGGGCTCTTCCTCAGCAGCTTCGACGCCTCACCTTTCCACGGACCGCTCCTCCCGGGATACTCCCACCTGGGCGACAGGAGCGGCACTCTCGCCTCTGGGCTTCGCAAAGGCAGTGTCACCAACTCCTCAAGTTCCGCAGCTGCGAGTCAAAGAGGAGGAGCCTGAGGAGAAACCTGAGCCATCGGCAGTTGTGCCAGAGTTGGATCCAGGTAGGATCGCCAAGGGCTTGGATGAAGTAGGCATCTTTGAAGGATTCTCAAAGAAAGCTGAAAAGCCGAGCGGGTCCGAGGCCATTCCTTCTCGAGTCGCACCTTATGTCCCTTTAGGCCTTCCCCGTCGGAGCCGTCCCCTCGAAGAGGCCAAGCTCGAGGAGTTCAGGAAGCTCGCAACCCACCTCTTTGAAGAACTCGTGATTCATGAGGTGGAGATGGACCTGGTGGAGACGGTCAGTTCGAGGGATGGCGTCATCGACTCCGCGCTCTTCCACAGGTACACGGACCCGAAGTCAGCAGGCACCGCCCTTAGGTATGCGCGCCTCCTGTCACGCTATCTTCAAGCCTACGAGATCAAATATGGGACCCCTTCAGTCACCGGGCCAAAGATCATGGGGCTTGAAGCGATCCAGGCTTTCGTCATCAGCCTGATCGAAGAGGAAGTGGGATTTTATACCCCTCGAAGCTTCCTCTACGCCGTGGAGTACTTCGGAGGCCTTTTCGGGTACCACTCACCCGGAAGTGCCCACCCCCGTGTCCGCAGGCTTTGCACTGATTACGTGGGAAAATCCCCGGAGCGAAGGCCAGCACCATTCTTCGAGATCAGATTCCTGTACTGGCTGGAGACAGTGGTGCTTGACGAAGCCCGGGACCTGCAGACTCGCATTGCCTGTGGGAAGCTCCGCCTGTGCACGCAATCCAGCATCCGTCACTCCGACCTGGCAGGCACAGCAATGAGGGACGTTGAGTGGTGCCGAATGGTTGGAAGTTCGGGAGTCTTGGGACTCCGTGCCAAAGCAGCATACACCAAATCCGGCCCCAGGACGTGGGCTGCGAGCCTCTTGGGAGTTCATCCGGACAACGACAAGTGGCTGATCCGATGGGTGGAACTCCTCCTAGTGATGCACGGCCATGATTGGCGTACCCATTCCTTCGTCGGGAGGGCAGCAGGGAAATCGGAAGGGTGGGAGCTCTATCCACCCTTGATCTCTGAAGACACCCTGACAGTGAAGCACGCGCTTCTCACCGACATCGATGGAGGAAACCAGAACATCATGCCCAGGGAGCAGGCGTTGCACCTGAGGTGGCACAGCTGCAAGACGACCATGCCCACTTATATGACCCACTTCAAAGTCACCACCAGGACGGTGAGGTTCCAGGGAGCCTGGAAGGACCCGGCAGAACTCATGCCAGACCTGTACCTCCGCGAATCTCAGATTTTGGTTCTGAAGGCGCAGATTGAGGTGCTTGATCAAATCCGCCGAGGGGCGGTGATTCAAACCCTGGAGGGCCAGGAGCTTGACTCCATGCGACAGCCCGATTGGGCCACGGTCGAGACCCAGAGGAGAATAGGCTGCCTGAGACCGGCGGGGAGGGTTCGGGAGCGGAAGCCATGAGGCGCGCCATTGTCTGCACGGAGGATCGACAGGGAGAGCGTAGGATCAGCGGTGACTGCGCAGTCCCTGTTACCGAACTCCCCCCTGCGCTACGTGGGACTGGTGCAGAGGACCTGGAGGAGTTGGAGGTCACCCTGGGAAAGGAAAGAGATGTGGCCGCCAAGTACTACAAAGACCACCCGATCGAGCATGTTGAGACATCGCCCAATGCCGTCGAGTGGGGCCCTGATTCTGATGACAGTGAGGGCGACCCTGCAACAACGGACCTAGAGATGCACCACACCTTCGTGCAACTCGCCTCGGGAGCTGGAAAGATCCATAAACCCTCAGTCGGGGACGAACACATGCCAAGGTGTGGGAGCCAGGGTTCAAGGTTCGCGGAACTCGGCGTGGACCACAGCTGGGGCATGAACTACAAGCTCTGCAACAAGTGTTTTGGAAAAAATGCAGAAGCATCCACGTGCCCCTTGCTGTGTGACTTCGTGCTGAAGAAGGGGGGCAAGGTTGTGCTGCGTTGCGGACGACGATGCAGAGGCGATCAGGTAGAAGGACATCTGAACCCCAGTGAGCAGGGCTTTGATCCAGCAAGTAGGCACAGGTGCACCCTGCACAGTGAAGAGGTGCTAGAGGAGGATCTGTAGGCTGACCGATATGATGTGATGCAAAAATTAGGGTGCCAGGGTGATTGTTTAAACCATGTAGCCATGCAACCCAGTTCGCAAGAGTTCATGCAATGCTGGAGCGTCCATTGGGGATCCATGTCCTTTCGTATGGACGTGACGGGTGCACCTCTATTGTAGACGCATGTGCCGATGCCCCAATGAGTGGATCAAACACCCACGTCCCCGAACCCGGGAGTCCTGCCAACATGGCGGACGCCAAGTCTGCTCTGGCCTTCGGACGAGCTGCTGTCAGCTTCGAGGTCCATGAGAGTGACTTCCTGGCCATGGCCGCGGACAAGATAAGTACGTTCGAGGCCATGGCATACCGCTTTCCTGCCAGCGCTGATCTTGAGGATTACCTCAAGAAGGTGCTGCGGAAGAGGGCGGCGTATCGCAACGACGATGGCGAGATCGTGGTCTATGACAAGCCGACGATCCTCTCTTGGGATGACTACAAGTCGGAGCCGGACACGGGCTGCCTGAGGAAGCTCTGGGGACTGTCCACCCAGGTGGCCAAGCGCCATCTGGAGAGGCTGGCAGGAGAAGAAGGCGAGGGAAAGACGAAGATCACCCTGGCCCATGCTCAGGAGCTCGAGGACAAAGCAGTTGAGACCGGCATGCCAGAGGCGACATCCGATCGAGAGAGGCCTTCTTTGCACACGCTCACCAAGGTGCAGGCGACCTTCATGCCGAACGGAACCTTCCAGCACTTGGCTTGGGAGTCGTACGTGTCCATGGAGGTCGAAGCGAGGTTGAGGAGAGCAGGAAAGCTGCCCAAGGACAAGAGGGAGCTGGTAGTGGATGGGAAGAGCCTGAAGATGACCGACACGGACATGGAGTTCCCGGAGACGGTCGTCGTGGACAACCTCGTCGCCCTGCAGGACCTCTTTGAACTGAGGGCGCGGGCATTTCACATCCTCGATGTCTGCAAGTATGACGTAGTGAAGGCCTATGGTGAGCGGATTATAGCCGGCCTGCGAGGAGTGACCGCAGAGGGCATGCGCAACCCCACCATGAACGAGGCCCGTCGTGCAGATCGAGAGATCTTTGGCGAGATCCTGAAGTGGGTAGCGAAGGGCAAGGGTTCAGTGGAAGCTGGACTCAGCCACTACACCCGGGAGTTCACAACTGAGCCGCTCTGGAAACTCCTCAGCCAGCAGCCGGAAGGCCACCCGGACCAAGGGAAGGAGCGGCCTTCTACCAGCAAAGGCGGAGGAGATGACAAGAAGGGCGTGAAGAGGTCGCGTACCCCGGAGCGTTCCCACAAGGAGAAGCCAGGTGAGCCTCAGAGAGTCCGAATGTGCATCGTTTGCCGCAAACGCCATGAACCACGCTGCCAAATCCCTCCCGGGTTCCGGAAGGAGCAGAAGCAGCAGTCTCGTGAGCAGAAGCGGAAGTGGGACGAAGAGCACAAGAAGGACAAAGGAGGCAAAGACACCAAGAAATAGGGACAGCTCCTCTCAGGAGCGCAAGCGACCTGCGCTCCGGGAGGTCAAGAATTTTTGAAATCCTCGGAACTTCGAAGAGAGGAGAAAAAGGTCGCCGAACCCTGGGACTTGTTAAGGGGCCGGGATGTTTTTCAACACAGTAGCCAGTTGCAGCGAGACCTTGAGGTCTCAGACCTGCAGCATTGGGGTCCCAACTGCTGTACCTTCTCCCGGGCTCGTGAGAAACCAATCCCAGGAGTCAAGGATCCCCCTGTACCTCTTAGGAGTTCAAATTTTCCAGAGGGTATTCCAACGGTGGTGGCCGGTCTCCCCGCTTCGAAGCGACGTAAGTTGAACTTAGATACACGCATGGCTGACATGGCTGCTTTAAATTGCCTGAAGGCCAAGCGCTTGGGGAAGTTCTTCACCCTGGAGCATCCGAAGAACTCCATTGCCAGAGACTTGGAGTCCTGGAAAAATTTGGAGTCGGAAGAGGGGGTGTGGGCCACGGAATACCATTCATGCATGTTTCGGGGAAGTGAGAGGAGGAAAGCTCAGGTCCTCATCCACAACATTCCTCTGCTGAATAGTAGATTGAACTTGATTTGTAACAGCAGTAGGATCTGTACACGCACGAGGAAACCCCACCTTTCCTGGAAGCCGAGGGTTGAGAGGGGAAGAGTGACATCCTTCGCAACCAGCCTAGAGAGAGAATACCCAGAGGGGTTCTGTGAAGTATACGCACAAGCCATAGTGGAGGCCACGCGATGCCCCATCCACGCGTTTGTAGAGGTCTTCTCAGGGCCAAATGCGCCTCTCTCGTGCGCCTTGGCAAGAGCCTGGGGAGTTCGTCCCCCGGTCCCTCCAGGCACTGTCAAGCCTCCAGGGCCCGAGCAATCAGAACTCCCAGACGGACGCCTTGAACCACAAGCAACGACTAGCCTTTCGACATCAGCCACGTCCGCGCTTGGAGGTCCCGGCATTACACTCGATACAACTCCTACGGCCGAAACCGAGCAGCCGCGAGCCCAAGCCGTGGAGGCAGCTAAACAGCCGAGTTTCGGGAAGAGGCAACAGCTCATACCCAACGGGCTGAATGACGCTGCTGCTCACTTCAAGCAAGCATGCAAGTTACAACATCCATTCTCATCGATGGCGACTCTCAAGGCGGATCACCAGGAGTCATTGCGCGCCCTGGAGGAAAATCCGTCAACACTGGTTCGTTACCGCCTCGAACAGCTCGCCAGGGTCAGAAAGCTCAAGTCTGAGCTGACCGCAGAGCAGAGGCGAGCAAACGCATCGGCAGCCTGGACGGCACGAAAACTCAGCATCAGGCCAAATACCTGTCTGATGGAGAGGCTGCAGTCCCTGTTGCACATCGAGGACACAGACGTTCCCCAACTGTGCCTTGACGGAATGCGCATCACAGGGAAGGCGCAAACCTCCCCATTTTTCATGCCCTTTGAAGTTAGGCCAGTGATGTCACGTGACACCTTCCTAAACGGGTGTCGAGAGAGATCACTGGCCATGATCGAAAGGGTCCGGCACATGGCCCAGAAGGGTCCCCCAGAGATGGCAAAGGCCATCTGGGAGAAGACCCAGAGGGAAGTTGAGGCTGGCACCATGGGTCCGGCTATCACACTAGACCAGGCCCGTGCCAAGTACGGCTCGGAGGTGCAGGTTACACCAAGCTTCGGCCTAGCTCAGGGCACCAAGTTCCGCCGAATTGATGATCACACGGCATCAGGCGTGAATCGAATGGCCCACCGGCTACAGAAGGTCCCCATGACAATGGTCGATTACATTGGTGTCATGCTCAAGGCACTAGCCTCCCAGTCAACATCCATCCGGCTGGCTACGGAAGACATGAAATCCGCCTATCGCCAGATAGCATTGCACCCTGCAGACGTCAGGTTCGCCATCACCGGAGTATACAACCCGGAAACTGATGAAGTCTCGCTACATGAGATGTACGGACAGCCTTTTGGCGCCGGACACTCAGTCCCCAACTTTTGCAGAGTGGCGGAGTGGATCTCCCGCTGCTTTGTTCGCCTGTTTCACACCTTCTCTGACCATTTCTTCGACGACTTCTTTTGCCTTGAGCCTTCTCAAACAATTGAATCCGCTCTCTTTTGCCTTAAAGCTCTTTTTACCGAACTAGGCTTCCAGCTCGACCCAGACAAGTCGCAAGTTCCATCGCACACATGCGCCATCCTTGGCATCATGTTCTCCACCCAGTGCTTAGCGGCCGAATGCAAGATTTCCTTGGAGGCAAAGCCCTCTCGCGTCGCCAATCTTTGTGAGACCATCCGTCAGGTGCTGACCACAGGCCAACTTTCGGCTGCATTGGCAGCCAGCATTGTTGGGAAGTTTGGTTTCCTGTGCTCCACCTTATTTGGAAAGGTGGGTCGTTGTTGCACCGGTCCTTTGCGTAAGCGCCAATACTCCCAACACAAGTTCCAAGGTCTGACCCCTGACATTAAATGGTCACTCCACATGATGTTGGCATTCCTCAAGTATTGCCCCTCACGTGAACTCGCGTTGACGGACACTTCACCGGTCGTCTTGTACACCGATGCCTCGGATGTTCCCGGTCGTCAGCCGCAGAGGCTGGTAGGGGCAGTTCTCTTCATCCCAGACTCACACCAGCTTCTGTACTCTGCAGAGGAAGTTCCCCACACAATGGTGCAATCATGGCGCCCACGAAAGTCCTACATGGGACAACTGGAACTGGTCGCACCGCTGTGGGCTCTTGAGCTCTGGAGCCAGCAACTTCAAGAGCGTTCCGTCCTCTTGTTTGTCGACAACGATAGTGCTGCCACCAACCTGGTGAAAGGTTATTCCCCCCAACCTGACAGTTCTCACCTCGTTGGATCCTTTTGGCTGACAGCCACCCAACTGAAGTTGCATATATACATCGACCACGTAGAGTCCAAAAGCAATATTGCTGATGGACCCTCGCGAAATTCATTTGCAGAAGTCATCCGGTTGGGAGGAACTTGGACACCGCCCAAGACTGGCACCTTGGGTGGGCCCGCCACACTCTCCCCTTTCCAGCTGGCGCACTGGAACCCCGGGGGGAAGTTCAGAGAGAGGTGACATCCGACAACCACCCAACCTGCGGGGGGAGGTAGAGTTGGGTGTTTCTCTCTGGGTGAGTAGTTTAACGTT